TTCGGCCATTCGCCCATTCGGAGAACAATGAAATGTCTAAAAATCTATACGTTTAATGAACCAACCACTCGTCTTCTTCAATACCTTGAAATTGACGTGTCGGAATTGTTATATGTAATATAATGAACCTACAACTTTTTTTTCGTTATCTAAATACTCTTTGATTGGTCCACTTTAGTAGTTCTTACATAAATTATGTGATACCATATTAGGAATTATTAATAGACGAGTTATGCAATCTAATAGCTTTAGGTAGTAGAAAAAGTTGTCTTGAAACATAGAAAGCGACTTATAACGACCGTGTCTCCTCCATTATTTGACCCCATTCAATTCCATTTTGGCGTTTTATATCATAACAAATATATGTATAACTTTTTACTATTTATATGCCATATAAATTAATTTATTTTTCTTTCTATGTATGCAGGATTAGAACGTATTTGATAGAAGGATTCTTATGTCACACACATAATGGGTCATTTCACACATTACACAATATCATCTTCGGGTCAGGAGCCAAGCTCGAGTCGTATCTCGACCATGTCCGTGACCACGTGGACTGCGACGTTGCCATCTTCCACGGTGGCAAGGACGAGCTCATTCCTGTGGAGTGTAGCTACAGTGTCAAGAGCAAAGTACCACGTGCCACTGTCCACGTCATCCCTGACAAAGACCACATCACCATTGTGGTCGGCCGACAAAAAGACTTTGCACGAGAGCTTGAGCTCATTTGGCAAAGATCCCAATCAACTTAAGTGAATATATTTTATAATGATGAAACTCTTTTTTTTCTTTCTATAAAGTATATATTTTTCTTATTACAAAAGTTAGATATATATCGTTTTCTATTCAATCAAGATTTTGTTTTATTTTCCAAAGAAAGAAATGTCAAACCTCTAATTTTATTTTTCTTTTTATAAAAGAAAATTAGGTGGTGTTATTCAATGATGGATTTTAATAGAATTGAAATCCAACACTAATCCAGTGTTATTCAACTAATGATTATAAATCTAACGTTAAAATCTGGTGTTATTAGATCTTATACTTCATTAGATTTTAAAAGTTTGGTGTTATTCAATGGTGGAGTTAAAGTCAATTCTTTAAGGTTTGTAAAATCCAGTGTTATTCAAAACTAAAAGACTTGTAAAATCTTTGTATATTAAGTCATTTCAAATGAAACCTCTTTGGAGTTTCATGAGTAAATTATTAGAATCAAAATCCAAGATATACTGCAGGGATTTTGAAATCCATACAAACAGATTCTTAAAACCAATATCAGAAAACAAATCTAAACCTTAAAGAATTGACTTTAACTCTACCATTGAATAGAGTATTGCATCTTGCAGAGCCACTTCCTCATGTTATACAAAAAGTTGATGTGATTGTAATCGAATACTTTAATGTTTGTCGGTGTTAGAAAAAAATCGGTGATTAATGGTCCATTTGTTTTGGTATATATAGATGTTGCAGTCAGATTAAACATTCAAGTAATGTTTGTTATCAAACTGTTTTTTTTTTCATTTAGGTATAATTTTGTTCAAGAGTTTGTAAAAAACTTACGAATATAGATAATCTTTTTTTCGGAATATAAATATGTATAATTTTGCTATATATATTCGATTAATATTTTGTTTTTATTTTATCAGAGAAAAAATGCAAAGACTCTAATTCTTTTTTTGGAAAAAAATAAGAATGTAGCAACAGCCTCTTGTAGACCACTTAATATATATATTCGATCCTTTAAACCATAAGAAAGATATATATTAAGTGGTTGTGTGGAATCGAATAGTCCATTTGTCGATGTTAGACCAAATTCGGTGACCAATTAAGAGAATAACATGAATATTCGAAGTTGTTTTGTTTTCTTAATTAGATTTGAGTGCAACATGTCAAAGAGCGACTCATAAATCATAATATTACAATGTTCGATATATGACTAATCAATTGGTAGGATGTAGTATCGATCCTAGTAATCAGTTTTAAGAATCGTTTGTCATTAAATGTAGTTCTTAAAATTGTGATAATCATCTCATAACCATGGTCCATGGATTCGATAAATAGTTGATATAAAATTCAGAAAATACAAATTAAAAAAAAAATACAAATGAAATATTTTTCAACAAGAGAGGGAATTAAATGAAATGGACCGACCATAACCATATTGTATGATGGTGAAATAAGACGTGGGCTTAGTTTACTTCTCAACTCGTCTCGATCAGTCTATATTCGACTATGAGAGCCTATTGAATGCATTCACGAAAAAAATACCTTAACTATTTCAAATAATACTATATGTGCTGTCAGAATACACAATGATCAAAAACAAAATTTCAAAAATGATAAAAATACTTGCTGCGGTAAAGTTTTATCCGGTATGATCGGTAATGAAATCCGTATAAAGCTTCTTGATGGCTTAGCTTCCGTATTAACATAAAACCAGACATCAAACCTGTCAAGAATACATGTCCCGGTAGCGTGTCTATATTTACTAGTCGTTGGCTAGTTCAGTCGGAAAATCACTACATAGCAGGTCTACCCAACCCAATATCTAACAATGGTATCCAAAACTCACCAAAATTTTTCTCAATTTTAGCAAGGAGCATTGGGAGAAATTATTTAGAACATGAGAACTAGTCGTTGAAAGTCAACTTTTAACTCCGAATTCCGGAAAAAAAAAAAAAAGACATATATTTTGATTCTTAATTCATTGTAAATCACCACAAGGGTGTCCTAAATGACTTAATAGCATATTTTTGTGATAAAGAGATTTATCTACTCTTCAACAAAGGATCTGTCGAAAGTCGAAAGATAGCTGCACCAAATCCTCGGAAGATACCAAAGCAATTGTTACCTAAGTCCTAACGATAGTGAAAATCTTGCAAAATATCTCATCAATTCAAAAATGCCTCAACATTAGCTAGGAGAAACGTGAAGCATGTAGTATCTGTTTTGTATTTCTTAAAGATGCTTTATAATGAATAGCATTTACAAGTTTTGTGAATGTATTTGAATATTTGTTTGTATTAAAATATTTTTTCATATAAATTTGTTTCATAGATATATGATTTTATGCCTAGTCCAGGCGAACTAATCGATGATTATATATAGTTACCAATAGTTATGATCGTTTGGGTGGCAATTTCTATTAAGGACGAGTCGGATTGACGATTTTTTTGTTCCATAATGTCTAGTGAAAGCATCGCAGTTGCAATAGCATTCCCACCTATTTAGATAAATGATATATAAGCTACGATATAAAGTGTTTGTGATGCATTTAAATGGACACACGTATTAAAATGGGTTGCAAACACACGTATAAAAATGCAGATTTGTTCTTTCTTTTTTTAGGTTCTATATATAGGATCAGAGCCGTCCCTGAGAATTTGAAGGCCACAAGCAACAAAAAATAATTTGAAGCTTATGATTTGTAAGAAAAGATTAAAAACGAAAAAAAAAAAAAACATTGAAAATAGAGTTAGTGGATTCGAACTGGTCATCTGCACACATTATAACACACTTAAAACCACTAGACTACTTGAACATTATTGTTAAAAATGTGGCCGATTATATATATGGGGGATTTGGGGCCGCAAGCGCAAGCTTGCCTTGCTTGGCCTCATGGCCGGCTCTGTATAGGATGTTGCCTAAACATCATTTTGGGTTGCCAAAATAATTCTTAACATACCTACACTAACTTACTTTATTTCAACTATCCCTGCGCATATCTAGTATTTTTTGTATTAGCCAAATTAAGAATGGTAGTAGTGGTTCACCAAACTTATGTGTTTTTCTTTGTTTTTGTCTTCAGCCGGACCACCTTTAGTTATTATTTTTACCACATTTATAAGCATCCATGTTCCTTAAATGGCTTCAAAGAACGTATCAAATACAATGGGACATATATCTGGAACAACATAGTACGTCTGTATTTTTTCTCAAAAATATAGGGACTAGATATATATATATATATAACAAAAATATAGAGATCGATGCTAGGTAAATAAATTTTTGGAAATAAAACAATAAAGAAACTATTGTTGGTTTTATGAAATTAAGCATATTTCTTTTTTAGATAGAATGTGATTCCACATTATCCCATTGTATTCACTTGCATGAATGAATGACACTCGTCGCATCTTAAGGCATATATACACTAAGATAAAGTAATATGCAAAAAAAAAAAGAGAGATAAAGATAACATGAATGGTATAATATAGTTTCACCCAAAAACATGAATGATGTATATATAGTGACGAAATTAAACATAACAAATGTACTTGTTACGTTAATTATATATGATCGGTGTTCACCAAATGCAAAATCATAATATTGAATGGTGAATTGAAAGTGTGGTTTAAATAAGAGAAATTGTGTAAATTTGAAATTTGATCAACTATATTTATAAAAATTAGAAAGATCAAAACGATTTTTACAAAGTTATTACAATCATATCTATAAGATTTTTTTTTTCCAATTTTTTTTCTTTTTGCGGTGAAGACAGCAAACATTCGAAACTTTTTATAGAGCGAGTGAAATAGGATTGATTCTGTTTTTTTCACCTTTGTGAATCATACGTTTCCAAAGATATAAAGTAAAAATGAAACAAGAAGAGAATTCACTCATTCTATTAAAAGTTATTTTTTGTAAGCATCACCTAAAGCAAAGCATCTGCTTCTCTTATGTCTTATCCATCCCACTTGTCCTTCAATTCCTCTTTTTCCTTTTCTAATTTTTTCCACTTACAAAAATTCAGGTTTTTTGAAACAATAAATAAGTAAATATATAAGGAAATAAAATAAGATAAAACACTAAAAATACAATAATTTAATAATATATTTCGAAAAAAATATTCTAAGCTAACGAATAGGTAGTATAATTATGGGAGAATTTTTAAAATGCCCATTTTCCAATAACGCTTTTATATACATTGATCTTGAATTACGTTTTATCTAGTTTGTTTGTGATTTTGAGCATAATATACATCAAAATTCGGTTTGCTAAATTTATGAATATGGTATGATATATTTGTTCGTCATTCACGTACATATATACACAAATTAAGGAAGAATCTGCTCTTGTTTTCTTCTAGCTATAAAATTAAGTCAGAAGTCAACTATCAACCTCAAACTTATAATTAACCTATACAACTTATTATCACTTGAGATTAGGTAACCCCAAAAATTCCTAGCAAAACCAAACAAAGTAATCCATTATCACCCTTAGAAATTCAAAGAAACGAAGCTAAACCAATTATACCACAAAAAGAGAAGATGAATGAAACTAGAACTAACCTGTAGATTGATTACTCGAAGAAGCCAAGATCGAAGAAGCGATATAATTGAGGGGAATGAAGCCTGGTCCGACGTCATTAACCGTTAAAATCGATCATTCATGTATATATAGACTAATAAATAAAGAAGAGACATAAAATCAAATATAGATCTAAGTTAAGGGCCTCGTGCCAGACAACATTCCCCTCAAAAGAAAAAGCTTCACTGAAGAACATGGACTCCATATAAGAAAACCCTAGCTTTTAACAGAGAGAAAGAGAGAGAGATGAGCTTAATTTATAAACAAACAAAAGTGAAAGAGGAGGAGACAAGAAAGCAATGATGAAAAGAAGAGGGAAGATATTATTAGGAAAAAGATTGTGGAAATGTAGGGGTAAAAAAACAAAAGCTTAATAAAAAGGCAATTCCAAAAAGATAGAAAAATCGAAAAGAACAAACATTTTAAAGTCATAATGATAAAATTTTGATGACTTATTTCCACTTCTTTTTTAGTTCATCTTTGAATCTAATAATAATGTTTTCACATTATTCTAGCTCTTGGAATGAAATGTATGTAAAATAATCTCGGTTAAAGTTAAAAAAGAGAGTCAAATATTTGTTCTTGAATTTATTTGATTTTGAATGATTACTAACTAAAACCTTAAAAGTATATATATGACCGGATCGGTTTTTACCATAATGATGAAAATTTAGTCAAAGTGGCTAATGAGAAAGTCAAAAGAGATTAGTTGAGAAAGGACCCAATATAGGTAGATGAATGAAAGATAAAAAAGAAAGAAGAGAGGTGAATTATTGGAACATGATTAGGTTTGGATCTGATTTATATGTCATTAGAGAGAGAAATAGAGAAATGTCTTCACCGTCCTCATTTACTTCATGTGACAATCACATGCCTCCCATATCTCTCTCACCCACACATACACATATAATAATGATACTTTGAAATACATATTTTAAATTAGTAGTTGACAAATATTCAAATTATCCTTAACCATGCTTCGAATGTGTTTTGTAGATGTTTATGTATTTCGGTATCAAGAACACCATTACTAAAACAAAATTTGAAAGTAATGTTAAATACTCTATAATAACATTTTCGATTTATGAGTTTTTTTTTTAATCTAATAATGCAAAACAAAATCGTTTAACGAATTCACAAAACAATTTTCTAGATTTATTAAAGTCGTTAGCTTCTATTGAGATTTTTTTTTTCTTTAAAAGAAATTAGTTTAAAAATACACTTTTCAAATTGGGTTAAGTTTGTTTAGATGAAATTAAATTGACATACAATAATCTTTTTTTTTTATTCAGATAATACTCGAAAAGGTTTACATACATCTCTCTATCGGAATCTAAACTTTGCTTAAATATCTCCCAAATGGGACTTGAACTAGAAGTTCTAGGAAACACAACCTTTAGAAAATCCTATGAAACACAATCTTTAGAAAAGTCATAGAAAGATATCATAAAAGACCAAAACCACTTGGTCATAGGATTCTACCACTAAGATATGTAACAACATTGTAACTCTTTGATCATATTCACTAATAAATCACCAAAACCGTAAGTCGTATATTTAACCACTTTCAAAATTTATTTTTCATATTTAGAAACTTAAATCGTGTTGTGAGAAACAAATAGATCTAATGTAGATAAAAAGAGTTAAAAAGAAAATTAATAGGCGAATTTGAGAAGACTCATGGATACAATTGGAAAAGTGAACCAAGGAGTGGTGGTCTAGTAATAATGGGGCCAAATCTTTCGTATGTATACAAATACGGGTTATAAATGGAACAGAGGCATATCTCCAACATGAACTGCAGGACTTAATTCACTAGCTGACTCTGCATCCACGACAGGTCGCTGTATGGTTTCACTTAGAATAGACGAGCCATGTCCAAGACCAAGCATTGTGTTGGACGCCGATTACAAGTCTCTTGAGTCTCCTCCCTATGGACAGAACATCGTCCTTCATCTTTCTTCTTGACGGGTTCACATAGTGTCACTGAAACTTGGTTTCCTGCAGCTGTAAGAGAACCAAGTATTGATATGGAGACTCATGGCCATGGTGTCTGACTAAACGAAGCTTGTAACTACAAATCTGTATGATCCCTAGGTGGTTGGGATAGTAAAAGCATGAAGGAAGTGATCAAAGACATTTATTAAAAAGTGTTTTTAAGAATGGTTGAGAGAAGGAAATGTACCTTTGAGAGCCTGGTTTTTTGGTGATGAGAACTTTTGGAAATAGTAACACAATGCTTAAAAACACAGACCATCAATATATAATCACCACCCACTAGTGGAGAGTGGTCAAACAGAAGCCAATCTAAACATGATGAGGCTTGTGTAGCTAACAATACTACACCTAAAGACAATGAGAAGCTTTCTTTAACAAAGACAAGACGAAAATTGAAATTGCAACCAACTCAATGCAAAGCCAGATCACTTCTTCATTCAAGAATATTATCTTATACAGAACCAAGATTACTCGTCCTAGGAATACACAAATCTTATGTCTTGGATAGGAATTTACAACATACCAAATCCACAAAACCAACCCATCAATAGAATAAAAGAGACTAGTTTATTTGTAACCTATGTGTGACTATCTAATAGTCTCATGACAGGCTAAGGAGAAATTCTGAAACTATATTAGCCAAGTTAAAAAAAACCAACGGATATTATAGAAATTCCAAGAAGGCTTGTTCGTTTACATTCTCGTTGATCTACATGAAAATTTTATTCTAAAAGGCAAGATTCATAGGAAAATTGAGCTCTTATAGCTCACTCTTGACCTTAGGATCCCCATTTGGTAACACACTTTGCGATTGGGCCAACCGTTTTGCTTCCTGAATTCGAACAAAAACTAATTGTCACCCTGACATACCATTGTAGAGACAATCTCATATAGGAAAAAGGAAGGTAACAACTTACAGCGGCATAACTAGCACGTATTTCTCTATACGTATCGACTTCATCAGGAAAAGTCTGTTCAAGCTCCTCCAAAAGATGTTTTCTCAAACCCTGTATGAAAAAATGTCCGACTTTAAAATCATGGGTATCCAAATCGAGAGAATCAATAGAACAAAAGGGTCACCTTAAAAGCATCAGTCTTGCCCTTTGTAACTTGATTTCTAGCAATGCAGCTATTATTAAGAACATTCTTTGTAAACTCATCTGGGTTCTTCCCATCATCAATCAAGCTAACATAAACAAAGATATAACATAAGAAAGCAACCTAAAAAACTATCTTCTGGTGAAATCTAAAAAGGACTTGTTCTCACTTAAGAACCTCCATGGGGACTTGAATGTTGCATTTATCAGAAAACTGAGCCATATTATCAAGCTCCATCACAAGACAATTGCTGCATATAAACAAAAATTTCATTCACATAATACTCAAAACAATGGACCAAAAAGTCTCCTGGGAACAAGAAAAATTACAGGCGTTGGAGGAGATCAAGCTGAGAAGCGGGAGTGAAAGAAGAGACGGTGAGTTTTAATTGATGAAGGAGTACTAAAGTTTTCTGATTCGAGTTTATGACTTGGTTCAGATTCTCCTTTGAATCGTCGACGGTTGCAATTGCATTGCTTTCACCAATCCCGGCGATTGTGTTCTGTGCTTGATTCATCACCGATAGCTAGAAACGCGATAAAAACACACGAATTAGGGTTTTGAATCACGGAAACAGAGAGGTTGAGGGAAACAATCGATGTAGATCAAGTTCGATTGAAAAAATTGGATGAAATTTCTGGGGACGATGAAACCCTAAGGACCGCCCACGAAGAAGAAGAAGTTCAGAGAACGTACATGGATTTGAGAAGAAGATTACAGAGAAAAAGTCAAGGTGGTCAAAGAAAATTGACAATCGAGTTTTGAATTTGTTTGTAGTCATTGATGGGCCTTTGGGCCTTTCTATGGTTTTCAAGAGTCAATCATGTCGTTAAGACGTTAACGGTTACTAATGGGTTTATTGTTTTGATTTGTTTAGAACCATCTGGTTAAGTGTAAATCCATGTTCTATAAAGAATGATTCGTAGTGATAGGGCTGGGCTTTTAAACCGAACCGAATGTACCGAACCGAAACCGAAGCAAAAAAAATGAACCGAACCGAACCGAAACTTTGAAAATAATCGAATGGATACTAAATTTGATAACCGAAATAACCGTAACCGAATCGGTACCGAACCAAAATATTTTGGGTAACCGAAATACCCGAAATACAATTATATTTTCGAAATAATTAGTTATTTATAGACCAAATAATCAAAAATACTTGAAAAATCTATAAAAATAGTAAAAATACTCAAAAATATCCAAAAATATTCGAAAATACTCAAAAATAACCGAAATATCCGAAAATATCCTAAGCAAAATAACCGAATGGATACTAAATTTTGAAACCGAAATAACCGGAATCAAACCCAAACCGAACCGAAATTTCAAAATATCCGAATGGATACTAAATTTTAGAACCGAAAACCGAATGGACCCAACCGATAACCGAACAGATAACCGAAAGCCCAGGTCTACGTAGTGAGCTAAAGATTTAACAGGTGTTGGATGTTACTTTGATCGATTTTGAGAAAAGAGCTAAGTGTACTTGAATCCTCATAAACCCCGTAATTGAAATCACCCGTAAACTTGCTCCGTCTCTCGATTTAACAGCATACCTCAAATAGTACTTGATCCGGTCAGCCTCGGTAGAAACGCACCGAAGTGTTTCATAGTGGACTTTTCCCCGAATAGCCTATTCAGAGTTTGAAATGTTTTCCAAACCCAGAATTCCCACACATACGTGATTTTTGTTTTCAGGATGAATCGAACTTGGGTTAGTTTCTTCCAACCTTTCCCCAATTCTCCCTTACCACTAGACCACAGCTGTGTGGGCAATTAACATAAGTTAACCATACATTTAAACGATATAGTAAAACCTCTATAAATTAATAATGTTGGAACCGCAAAATTCTATTAATTTATAGAGGTATTTATTAATTTATAAAGAGATTTTCCTAATTTGGTAAGTTTTTTAAAATTTTTTATGAGAATATAAGCTTCCATTCATTATTTGAAATATCTTTCTAGAACTAATTACAAATAAAAACAATTATCATGTTTAGAAAACAACAGGAACAGTTTTTGATATAGTAAAAATTATTAAAATTAAATTAAAATTAACTAATGTGAGTTTAAGCAAAAAGAAACAATACTAAAATTATATTTCATTAAAGTTATTATATATAATTATAACATATATATATATAGTTGATATTTTATATATGTTTCTATAGAATTTTCAAAAAAATTATTATCTTATTAATTTATCGATTTGTGTCACTTTTTACACTGGTCCTAACTCGGGACCGGAAGAATTTATTAATTTATAGAGATTATTAATTTATCGAGTATTAATTTATAGAGGTTTTACTGTATTTTGAAAATTGAGACTTTTAAAGAAATTTTTATCTATAAGGCTTTTTTATAATGTAACATAACCTGAGTTGGATTCATATTCCAGCTAATCGGATCCGGAGATGATTGTCACGTTGGTGTAGTATGTAATAAGTGGTACATTTTTTATGTATGTGCACGAGAGTTCACATAAACGATCGACACAACACTTCACGAAATCTTTTCCAATTGGTTTCGTTCACTTTTTCATTTTCATATTCATATAAAGTGAAATCAAGCAGATAACATTTGGTTTCGTTGGTTTTGAACTTCACAAATAGAAAATGGTTTTAGTAAATAGAAAAAGAAGAAAAAAAAAAAAAGACAAAAAGAGTAATCTATGTTCACAAATAGCACTTGATTATAACAGTGAATCTTTGCAAAAAAGTTAAAAAAACTTTCAAGAAACTGATCCATCCAAAATACACTATCTTGTCTTCACTCTACAAAATTCCTGTCATTACTCTCTCGAACCCTTTCTCTTTTCGAATCTTCCCACTTTGTTCCATCTTCTCCTTCTTCTTCTCTCTTCAATGTTTCCACTCTCACAAAATCTCCATGACTACAAAACGTATAGACAGAGATTTCCCATCTTCCGACGATCCTTCCGCCGCCGCTAAACGCCGTGTCAACGACATCGAATTCCCCGAAGAAACACTCGAAAACGACGGTGCCGCCGCCGCAATCAAACTCCTTAGCTTACTCCTCCAATGCGCTGAATACGTTGCTACTAATCATCTCCGTGAAGCTTCAACACTCTTATCCGAAATCTCCGAGATATGTTCTCCGTTCGGTTCTTCGCCGGAGCGTGTCGTCGCTTACTTCGCACAAGCGCTACAAACGCGCGTGATCAGCTCTTACCTCTCCGGCGCGTGTACTCCACTCTCAGAGAAGCCACTCACTGTTGTTCAGTCTCAGAGACTCTTCTCCGCCTTGCAGACTTTTAACTCCGTTAGTCCTCTGATCAAATTCTCACATTTCACGGCGAATCAAGCGATTTTTCAGGCGCTTGACGGTGAAGATTCCGTTCATATCATCGATCTCGATGTTATGCAAGGTCTTCAATGGCCGGCTCTGTTTCACATCCTCGCTTCACGTCCTCGAAAACTCCGATCAATTCGAATCACCGGATTTGGTTCCTCCTCCGATCTCCTCGCTTCCACTGGCCGGAGACTCGCCGATTTCGCATCATCGTTAAACCTGCCTTTCGAATTCCATCCAATTGAAGGAAAAATCGGAAACCTAATCGATCCGAGTCAACTCGGGACGAGACAAGGGGAAGCTGTGGTGGTTCACTGGATGCAACACCGGTTATACGACGTCACCGGGAACGATCTCGAGACGTTGGAGATTCTACGGAGGTTGAAACCGAATCTGATTACGGTGGTGGAGCAAGAATTGAGCTACGACGATGGAGGAAGCTTTTTAGGAGGATTCGTGGAGGCTTTGCATTATTATAGCGCGTTGTTCGACGCGCTTGGAGATGGATTGGGTGAGGAGAGTGGAGAGAGGTTCACGGTGGAGCAGATTGTTTTGGCGACGGAGATAAGGAATATTGTGGCGCATGGAGGAAGGAGGAGGAGGAGGATGAAGTGGAAAGAGGAGCTGAATCGGGTCGGGTTTAGACCCGTTTCGCTTCGGGGTAACCCGGCGATGCAAGCGGGTTTGTTGTTGGGTATGTTACCGTGGAATGGATATACTTTGGTTGAAGAGAATGGAACCCTCCGTCTTGGTTGGAAGGATCTCTCGCTTTTGACTGCCTCTGCCTGGAAATCTCAGCCGTTCGATTGATTTTCTTTATTTTTAAACAGTTTTTATTACTATTATTTTTTATTTAAAAGAATAATGCAAAGTGGATAAAATTTGGGAAAAATATCGTTAAAATCCCCAACTTATTCAAAATGTTGATTTAAATCCTCAACTCATGACGAAACGAAATAAATATCAAACTTATGTTGACTTTCCAAATAAATATTAAACTTATGTTAACTTTCCAAATAAACACCAAACTTTCATTGACTTTCCAAATAAATATCAAACTTCCGTTGACCTGACCATATAGGTACGACGTTAAGTGGGTTAATAAATCTTTAACTCATGACAAAACGAAATAAATATCAAACTTATGTTGACTTTTCAAATAAATATCAAATTTATGTTGACTTTCCAAATAAATATCAAACTTCCGTTGACCTGGCCATATTAGGTACGACGTTAAGTGGGTTAATAGATCTCATTAACGGAGGTAATTTTCTGTTAACATATATGTTAATTGATAACGACATTGTTTCATATAACAACAAAACGACGTCGTTTTGTCGTAACGATTGAATTAAATCCCTAAAGTCAATCTTAGATCCCCAAATCGAGCAAAATCCCTAACCCTAAATAGAGTATGATTTGAAACTCGGGATTTTATTGAACAGTTACGACAACACGAAACAACGTATACGTACATGTGTTAATCGAAATGACACAACTTTACGAACAGACACAACTATACGTACGTACATTCGTGACTCTTACGTAAATAACTAACTTATATGAATACGACTTAGATGAGATTTGATTATAGTTCAACAATACTGTCATTTTTAATTAGTGGATCTGTTAACAGAAAATTAATCCCGTTAACATTGTCTGTTAACTCACTTAACGTCATGCCTAATATGGCCAAGTCAATGAAAGTTTGGTGTTTATTTGGAAAGTCAACATAAGTTTAATATTTATTTGGAAAGTCAACATAAGTTTGATATTTATTTCGTTTCTTCGTGAGTTGAGGATTTAAATCAACGTTTTGAATAAGTTGAGGATTTTAATGACATTTTTCCCGATAAAATTTACTTTAATCGTTACGGATATTAAAATTTACTATTATTTTTTTTTTGCATCTAATATTACAATTTTTTTTCTTACAACATCAAGTTTTAAACGTAAAAATTTAACTAAAATTTAGTTTAAAGATAAGATTTAGGTGATAAATATTTTGAAATCAAAACATGATTGGTAAAAAACTAGTTATTCTTACACGTGTTATACTTTTTTTTTTCTCTCTCTCATAAGTCATAACATCACATAATTTATATGAACATGTAAGATAAAAATCAAATACTAAAGTTTCTTTTACCAAAAAAAAAAAAAAAAAAATACTAAAGTTTATTAATGTGAACAACTTATATCAACATATATAACTATGAAATCAAAATTGTTTGTAACATTTTACAAAATCTATATATTTATCTATATCCTCCCTCTTATCTTTTTTTTTTCTACTGCAATTGTGAGTTCCATAAGTTGTATTCATAGTTTGATTGTGAAAATCAGAGTTTATTAAAAAAAATCAAAAAGCTTTTTTTTTTTTGTTTCAAACACATCTTTGTTCATTTACTACTCCTTAATAATGAATGTTTTATACACAGTTACACACCATCAAATACTTTTATTGTCGTATTTGTTTCAGGTGATCAAGACTATATTCACGCTAATGCAGCACCTCAGCTACAAATACAATAATTGATTTCTCAAAAAATTCATTTTACTTCATTTTACTAGCTGCACAAACTTCTATTTATCACATTCAGAGGCAAATGAACAATGTTCTCCACAACATTCAGGATATTCCTCTCTCAAGTATTTTCAATTTCATCGATAGAGAGATCCATAATACTATAACCGGTAGAAAGCATAGAAAGAGATGGAAAAAGCTTATGCTTCTTTGGATTCGATAACTTGGATTCTCCATTTCCTTTCAAAATGGATTGTAATTTTGTTTATATTTATTTTGCCAAGATTACTTTATTTTTAGGTAATTGCTTTATAATACCTAACATTTATTTGATACCATATTTACAATTTAGAAAGAAAGTGAAAACCCAAAAACCAAAAAAAAAAAAACACCATTATTTTGGAAAAAAAAAAGAAATGACCCAACTGTATGAAGGCCCAATAAATAAGTGGGCCCAAATTTCTATAAACGACCATCGACTTTTTCAATAATCAATTTCTTTCTTCAATTCAACAAGCATAGCAAATTGCTATGATTACTCTGAGAATCAGAAGAAGAAACCTTGGTGAACAAAATCCCTAGTTTTGGGATGATGTTTCCACGTCTACGATTGACGAAGGTCTTCTTCTCCCCGATCCTCGCCGGCAAATGGATCGTCTTTGCCGACGGTAGCAGCGGTGGCGGCGCCGGTAGAAATGGCTACTACGGCGGCTTATGGTCGTCGGCTATTGTTCCTTCCAATGTTGGTTTAGCTGTCGCTGTCACCGTCATGGCCGTGGCCGTTGCTTTCACCGTCTACTCTCGTAGGTATACACACAAAAAGATCTGAATTTATGTTCTAATCGATTTCTTCAAAGCTTAAGAAGCAAAGCTTGTTCACTACTTAGTTAAGTAGTCATTTGGTTACCCAGAGATTGGTTCTTGCTTCTTTGTTACCTCTCCAATTTGAGACTGGATCCTCATGCCTTTAGTTTCGAAGAATTCTCTGTTAGTTAGGTCATTGTGATTGAGCTCTTGGTCCAATGTTAGTTGCTAATTCGTAAGACTCTCAGGCTGAACTTTGTCCTGGCCATATTCTGTATTCATAGACTTTGATGCTTATTATGATCTTGAGGCTCCAATCACTAAAGGTTTTTATAGTATTATGAGAGAAAATGTAACCGATGTTTAACGTTTGCTTTTAGGTTGTTTGTTGGGTTTTCTTTTGTATGTCATGTTCTCTTGGTTAGTATAGAACAAGCGGAGTGATTTTCTAGGAAGGGTGGGGAACTCTGAAACTTCCATGTATAAACTCCTTAAAGAACTCTCGATAATCAACTCCACAAGCTTTGTATTTGTGTTTCTTCTTTTGCAACTTTATCAGACACACAAGCTTTTTTTTTGCTAAATCTCTTACCATCGAACTCAGAAATCTCTTTTTATTGTTATGACTCTTTCTACAACCCAAGCAATGAAAATATTTTGTATAGGTTCTGCATAATAAATATGCATATCATGAACAGTTGAAATCTTATAAATGCAGCCTGATATAGATTTATGTCTCTGGTCCTTTTATTTTGTTCTAATTCTTGGCATCTCTTGGGCTGTTTCTGTATATAACGATGAAGTGGTTAAGAGTCTTAGGTCTTCTGTTGTGTGTTAGAACTCCATTGATACTTGCAATTCTTTTAACATATATGAACATAGCACATAACATGTAAGATTTAGCCTGTCTTATTTGTTCAAAAAAAGCTTTTGTCACTACATTTGGTTTGGTTTATGTTTTTCTTTCTAAATTTACTGGACGAAGTTGCTCATTCTTTGCTCATCCACTTCTTCAGAGGAGGCATTGGATCACCTTGGTCACTGAGGAGAAGAAAGCGTGTTCTTCAACCTAAGCAGTGGAATGCTTTTTTCACAGAGGAAGGGCGACTCAGTGATGGAGGTGCATTTCTGAAGAAAGTTCGTAGTGGGGTATGTTGCTAAATAAGAAAACAGTTCTGAATGAATGAGTGTTTCTGTAGTTGATAACCTTGTGACACTCTGATCTTTACCAAATTTCCCCATATGCCTTGATATAGAAATTCTTAATTTTGTTTCAGGGTGTACATCCAAGCATTAGACCAGAAGTTTGGCCGTTTCTCCTTGGAGTGTAAGAATCAGCATCTTTGTCACTGTTCCTTGTTATATGTATACTTTTATCTTTTGCCGCTGCCGTGGTGATATTTTGTTCGGCCTTATGTTCATAGTCATGCATGTTTTTAAATGTTCAAGTGTATTTTTTTCTTTGGGGTTGGCTATTGATGTTATATAGGTTTAAGGTTGAATAAATAGTGCAACAGCAAAGCATTCATTAACTAGGAGATGGGAGAGTTGCCTTAAGGTTTTTCTTCCAAGAGATTTATAAGATTAGTCCTAGTTTTGCCATACCAAAACTCCACCAGCCGTCGCTCTACATTGCATTTAATTTGATAATGAACCTTGTGTAAGTTGTTAGTATTCTTTATCATCCCGACACATTGTAACCTTATTCTACTTACCTCTCACAGGTATGATTTAAACAGCACCAAAGAAGAAGAGACTCTATTCGACAACTGAAACAGTACGTTCGCTTGGCTTCTCAACTTTCTACCAATATTACGTTTCCCATTTTTCTCTGTTTTTTAGGTGGCAGCCGGTTATCAACTTGCTCAATGTGTTGATAAAACTAGGAATAAGAAGTCGTAGTTTGGATCTCCTATCACTTAGATTTCGTGTTAGTTTGTAAGTAACTTCTTTAATATCTGAAAATCCTGCAGGACGGAATATGAAAACCTGCGGAGACAGTGTCGTGAGATTCATGAACGCAATGAAAATGGCTGCGACTCAAAGCAGACAGCTCAGAGCAGCAACACTGAAGACAGTCAGGTTCTTGATTCCCATGATATTGAGGAAGTCGAGAGTTCCACAAGATCCATCACCGTAGAAGAATCAGAGAAGTTGAATTCTGAATCGATTATGCAGGATGAGATCTGTGAAAAGAGCGATATCACCACTGACGATGCTGCTGGTAATGACTCAGACTCAACCAACCCTGACGAAACCGAGACTTCACCTCTTCTAGCTAACGAAGAAGTAGAAAGCCACAATACTGTTAACCAAGAAAAAGACAATTCGTCTCCATCATCAAAGCCAAAATCTCAGGCAGCGGAGGAGGATTTCATGTCAACGTGGCAGAGAATTATTCGCCTAGATGCCGTGAGAGCAAATGACGAATGGGTGCCCTACTCACCGTCTCAAGCTGCTGTTTCTGAGACAAAAGCCCGAGGAATAGCCATACAGGTTGGTCTCAATGACTATGACCACTTGGAACCCTGCCGGATATTCCATGCAGCCCGCCTGGTCGGTATCCTTGAAGCCTACGCAGTCTACGATCCAGAAATCGGTTACTGTCAAGGAATGAGCGACTTACTATCTCCTTTAATCGCAGTGATGGAAGATGACGTCTTAGCATTCTGGTGCTTTGTCGGGTTCATGAGTAAAGCAAGGCATAATTTCCGGCTAGACGAGGTTGGAATCAGGCGACAACTCTCAATGGTATCGAAAATCATTAAAGTTAAAGACATTCACTTGTACCGACACTTGGAGAACCTTGAAGCAGCAGACTGCTTCTTTGTATACCGTATGGTGGTAGTTCTGTTCAGACGAGAACTAACCTTTGAGCAGACGCTGTGTCTCTGGGAAGTAATGTGGGCGGATCAAGCCGCAATAAGAACTGGGATTGCAAAGGCGACTTCTGGGAGAATCCGGTTACGAGCACCACCAACAGAAGATTTGTTACTTTATGCGATAGCAGCGAGTGTGTTGCAGAGGAGAAAAACAATCATAGAGAAATACAGTGGGATGGATGAGATAATGAAGGAATGTAACAGCATGGCTGGTCATCTTGATGTTTGGAAACTTCTAGACGATGCTCATGACTTAGTCGTCAAACTTCACGACAAGATCTAAGACTTATATCTCTCACTCTTGTTCTATCTCTTACTTGTTTGTTGCACTCTTTGTTATTGTTACATAAAATGTGATAAAATAAAATAAAAAACACATCGTCCTAAAACGCTTCAAAATGTCTTCATTATTGCTAAAATTCAAATGAAGAAATTAGCCAAAGAGAACCCGCTGAGGCAAAAAGAAGGATTTGACTTTATTTGGTTTTAGGAGCCTCTAGTTGAGCTAGAGGTTTAACCGTAACAAACCATTTCTTCGTTTTTTCAATTTCCAGAACATCATCAGATCTCTCTTCTTCTTCTTCCTCTTCAGACTTTAGATTTATTTTGTGATCAGTCTTCTGACTATAACATACTGCGATCTTTGTTCAGCTTCTCTAATGGCGGATAATGTTGAAGAGCCTCAATTGCAAAATGGAGCGGCACCAGCTGAGTCTGAAATCGAGCAGAATCCGACTCCGGAACCACAACTCCAAACTGAGCCCAAACTTACCGAAGAAATTCCGGAAATAGAAACGGATGTGAAGCCGGAGGAAGTACAATCGGAGGTAACAGATGCGAAGCCGGAGGAAGTACAATCTGAGGTTAAGCCGGAGGAAGTACAATCTGTGGTAACCGATGCGAAACCGGAGTTAACCGATGTCGATCTGTCTCCGGGAGGATCTGAGGAGATCCCGATCCAGTCGAGGGAGGTGAATCAGGAATCTTCTTCCATTGATCAGGAATCTACTTCTGTTCTGAAGAAAGAAGATGATGGGAACAAGACATTTACCATGAGAGAGTTGCTTAGCGAATTAAAAAGCGAGGAAGGAGATGGGACTCCTCACAGTTCTGCTTCTCCCTTTAGGTTTCTTCTCTCTTTCTCTTTAAATTTCAGCTGATTTGAGTTGAATTGTATAATTTGATCATGTATGTAACTACTATTTGGAAATTGGTTAACTTTGTTTGTGCTTTTGTCTTATACTCTTATGATTTTGCTCAGTCGAGAAAGTGCTTCTCAACCAGCGGAGAACAATCCTGCAATGGATCTGATTAACAGGATCCAAGTTACCGACGAAGAGGGTCGATCCCGCCAGCGTGTTCTTGCATTTGCTGCCCGCAAGTATGTAACACTTATGATCTCCTGTTTAAGTTTAGATGAGAAATGAAAGTTAGTTGATTGCTTGACCAATGAATTAGATTGTTGTTTTTTGTTTGGAACTTATGCCCTCATAGACAGGTTTGATAGATTCAGAGATTTAGTAAAATAGTTCCATTGAGCGTATTGCTCATTGGTAGGCTTGGTATGTTATGTTTGTGCTGTTTCGGGCGGTGAAGTTATATAAGCTGTAACTTTGTAGGTATGCAAGTGCGATAGAGAGAAATCCAGATGATCATGATGCATTATACAACTGGGCACTTATTCTCCAGGTTTGGTTTCTTTTCGAGTATTTAGCAGTTTTCTCTTTCAATCCCTTTCTCGGTCGCTCTTTCTCTCTTATATGTGATTAGCTTTCGTTAGACATTTTCATATGAACGTGAGTTAAGGATGTGGGTTTGAATTTGAATTTGCCTAGAACTAGCTTGTAAGTTGTGTAAATTGTTGAAGGAAAGAATCGAAAGATAAACAGAAATAAGAAGCTGAAACATACATCCAAAATTCATAAAACACTGGGCATGAGATAAAAGTATTTCTGTAAGAGCTTAGAAGTGTCTGTCTTTGGGGACATCTGAACATTTTTCGTTCATATGCGTTTACTGGAAACAATGCTGTATTCATCACTTCACTTACCATATGTTCTCCACAGGAAAGTGCTGATAATGTCAGTGCAGATTCTGTTTCACCTTCTAAAGATGATTTGCTTGAGGAAGCTTGTAAGAAGTACGATGAGGCAACCCGTCTCTGCCCGACGCTTTATGATGTATGTATTATTAGGATTATATATCTGATTAGTTTTGTTTCTGGTTTATGTAACTGAAAATGCAATATAATGGCTTTCAGTTCATAATAAATGGCTTCAACGTTTATGTATGGCGTGTGTGATTCTTTGACAGGCTTACTACAACTGGGCTATCGCAATCTCTGATAGAGCAAAGATGCGTGGTCGCACAAAGGAGGCCGAAGAACTATGGGAACAGGTAAGTAATATTTCATATAATATCAGGACTGACAGCACCTTATCCTGCTAAGTGTGAAAACTAAATATTATCGTTGTTTGATCTCAACTTCTAATTCTAAAGAACTGTGTGTTTAACATTCTGATTTCAGGCGACTAATAACTATGAAAAAGCTGTCCAGCTCAATTGGAACAGCTCCCAGGTATGGTCCTTTCATCTACTTCATCTGATATACGAAACTTCACAATACTGTCTCTTCAGAATCAAACCTTTGTCAACTATATGATGTCCTTTTTAAGCCTGTGTCGTCAATTGGTTAGTTCTATTTTGCAGTCTTTTGATTACCAATTATCAAATTCTGCAGGCATTAAACAACTGGGGACTGGCGCTACAGGTAACTGAGTGACATGTGTTTAATCTCCATGATATGTTATCACATAAAAAATGTGTTTTCCTAAATATTAAGATGCTAAAAACTTAGGATATTCCTTGTGTATTGTCATTAGGAACTCAGTCAAATCGTTCCTGCTAGGGAGAAGGAAAAAGTTGTCAGAACTGCCATTAGCAAGGTGCTTATTCGTCTTTCGAACTAATGTAAACCTTGCATTTGATCTGCACGATTAATATCTTATTGTCCCTTTTTACTTGTTTTACCAAACAGTTTCGGGCGGCGATCAGGTTGCAATTTGATTTCCATCGAGCCATATACAACCTTGGAACTGTTCTGGTAAGTTTCAATCCTTTCACATCATAACTCTTTACATACAGGATTATAATTTCAATCCAGTTAATTAACCTCTGCGGATTCTTCTCACATATACAGTATGGATTAGCAGAAGACACACTTAGAACCGGGGGTTCAGGCAACGGCAAAGACATGCCTCCCGGTGAGTTATACAGCCAATCTGCCATCTACATTGCTGCAGCTCATTCGTTGAAGCCAAGTTACTCGGTAAGCCTACTATATCTATTGTGTTGGAATCAAAAATGTTTGAGGCATATTTCTATAAGATTGAATGCCAGACTTAGTTTCATCGCTTCACCGCCTTTGGGTTAGGCTGATCCTTTTACTGGTCCAGGTTTACAGCAGTGCTTTGAGACTCGTTCGCTCCATGGTACATCCCTACTTTCACTACGTTTTGATGACCCAATCACTTCGCACAATCAAGTTGATTTATTTGTGGAAATGACCAAAAGTAAAATTGAGTTTATTTTGGCAGCTACCTCTACCACATCTTAAAGTTGGATATCTAACTGCAGCACCTGTGGGAAACTCACTCGCTCCTCACAGTGATTGGAAACGCACAGAGTTTGAACTCAATCACGAGAGGCTTCTACAGGTACTCTCTCAGCGCCAAAAGATGATGGATAATGTTTCTTCAGAGATTTTAAAGTCACTGCTGGCTTGTAGGTACTGAAACCTGAACCAAGAGAAATGGGACGAAACCTGTCAGGAAAACCAGAGACAATGAGCACAAATGTGGAGAGGAAGACGGTAAAAGTGAATATTACAGAGATTGTGTCAGTGACGCCTTGTGCTGATCTCACTCTACCTCCCGGTGCTGGTCTCTGCATTGATACCATTCATGGCCCAGTCTTCCTGGTTAGTCTCCAATCCTGATTTTTGGTTTAAGATCTGTTGGTTTGGTTTTGGTTATGATATGGTAAAAGTATAACCAAATGAATTTGCATAACAGGTTGCAGATTCATGGGAGTCTTTAGATGGATGGCTTGACGCAATTCGTTTGGTTTACACAATTTATGCGAGAGGGAAGAGTGATGTTTTAGCCGGTATTATCACCGGTTAATAAATACTTCACTTATATAATTTATTTTGCCTTTTTTTATCCATAGTTTTGTGATCTTAGCAGAAATTCTCATTTTCAAACATGCTGATCTTTTTTTTTGGGACCGTTTTTCTTATTTACATCGAATACAATTTATAAAGATATGTGATATGTCTCCCAATTGTAATAGTTTATCCTCGAATGTTTTCTTTTGGTTTGGTTTGGTTTAGTACATCCGTATCAAATGTTGGGCTAATAAGCCCATAAGTGTAGGCTTTAACGGCCCATTAAAACTCCGCCTCTCTCCCACTCTCTTTCTCGTAATCGCTGTCACTTTCCACCGAGCTCGAAGCTCAAAAATCATGGCGTCTCTGTCGTGTCTCTCGATTTGCGGACTTTCATCTTCCGCCTCTTTCTCCCCCAAGCCCCGACTAGTCTCTTCTCCTCCGTCACCGCTTCCTCTAACCTATCCCTTACGAAACCCTAAGAAGGTGATCGATCAAAACTAGCAATAATTCTCTCGAGATATTTATCCCAATAACTTGTTTCATTTCTTCATTTCTCAGCTATGTAGGAAGAAGATTAAGAGAGTAATTTGCAGAGCTGAGTTTTCACAAGACGCGCCACTCGTAACCGCCATTGGTGCGTGTATCCTCAGTTCATTTGTTTTTCCGGCGGCGAAACGAGTCAACGATGAGGAAGAAGAAGAAGAAGAAGAGAACTCAGCAATTGTGTCAACAGATATGAGATTAGCCGCCATGGGAATCATTAGCTTCATACCTTACTTCAATTGGCTGGTTTGTGTTCATTTCTCTCCTCTTAATCCTAATAATAATCTCTTAGTTATAATTAATTAAAACTCTAAACAAATTCGATTTGATGATTTAAATCACAGAGTTGGGTCTTTGCTTGGCTTGACACTGGAAAATCTCGTTATGCTGTTTATGCTCTTGTTTATCTTCTTCCTTATTTGAGGTAATCTTGTTACAAAACACACTTATGTTATATGTCCACACATTTGGAAGAAGCAAAATTGTTTAGTATTTTTCATGTGAGTTTGGTCATCTGTTGTTCTGTTTTAGACAGTGTTGTGTTTTTATTCATGTTTTTTTTTTGGCAGTTCGAATCTGTCTATTTCTCCAGAAGAGAGCTGGTTACCAATTTCAAGCATTGTCTTGGGCATTATTCATGTTCAGGTTCTGATTATTATGTCTTTTCCAAATGTTTATGAAGCTATTTGATTGCAACAGAGTTTGGTGTTTTATTATTTATCCTCTGTTTTTTTTTTGGGGTAGCTTGAAGCAAGCATTGCAAATGGTGATGTTGAGACACTTTCATTCTTCAGAAACACTTCTGATGAAGATTTTTCATCTAAGAAACGAATCCACTTTGACAAACATTCCAAGGTAACTTTACTAAAGCAAACTTATACAAATTCTATTTATAATTTAGTTTTGATTTGTTTTTTTGCATTGTAGGAGAAAGACACTGACACTGAAAGTTAATTGCCCCAAAAACTAAAGTGAAAAAATGAATATTTGTAACCAAACCTTAGCTAGTAGTTTTGTTAATTTTTAATTTCCTCAATATTTCAAATTTATAAAGTTTAAAATTTCTTATAGACGACCACAACAATTCAAACCCTTTTACCACATTTGGATTTTTTATCCACCTCAATGTATTTCTCTTTATCCACCTCAATGTATTTCTCTAATCTGTATTTGTTAGACATAAGAAAAAAAAAAAAAAAAAACTTGAGGCCCATGGGCCCTTACTTTAAAGCATCGTATAAAAAGGAAGAAGAGGCCCATTTGACATTTTATCGTTCTTTTCGTGAAATGTTTTCGGTAACGAAAGGTTTAATCAGAAACTTGAGCTTGTTCCAAGTTCGTCTTCCTCCTCTCGTAGCAGCAGTAATGGCTCCTTCAAGCGTCGTTAGGGTTTACTCTACTGCTACCTCTCCTTCTCCTTCTGAGGTTTCCGTTAAGAAAGTTGGTACTCATAATGGAAGCTTTCACTGCGACGAAGCTCTCGGTTGCTTCATGATTCGCCTCGTCGATAAATTCTCCGGCGCTGATATCGTCCGTTCTCGTGACCCTAAGGTAACACAATCAATCCTCCTGAATTAGCTCTGGCTTAGGAAATGGATTTGTTAGTTACTAGAAATGTTGTTGTTCGAAATTTTGACTTAATTTTGGAATTAGGGTTTTTGATGTAAATCTGGCTTGATTTTGAGGAAGATATGATTCTCTGTTGTTGTATGGTACATGTAGATATTGGCAGAACTTGATGCAGTGCTTGATGTTGGAGGTGTTTATGATCCGGAGCATGACCGTTATGATCATCACCAGAAAGGTTTTGAAGAGGTTTTTGGACATGGCTTCAACACTAAGCTCAGTAGTGCTGGTCTTGTTTACAAGGTATTGGTTGTTGTTTGCTCTCATTCTCACTATGAAAGATGGAATTCTGAATGTTCTTGTTTTGTTGTTTTACTTTCAGCATTTTGGTAAAGAGATCATAGCTAAAGAACTTAATGTTGACCAAGATCACCCTGATGTTCTTCGATTGTTTTTAGCTGTCTACAAGAGCTTCATGGAGGTATTTGCAGATTATCCTTTTCCAAACCAAATTTTAGTTTCCTTTATGTAGAAGTGCATATTGGTTATTCTTCATGTGGATATCAATTCTTGTTTGTTTTGATGACGTTATGTTGCTTAATTTTGACAGGCAATTGATGCTGTGGACAATGGAATAAATCGGTATGATACTGATCAGCCTCCACGATATGTGAACAACACACATCTGTCCGCAAGGGTTGGGAGATTAAATCTGGATTGGATTGACCCTGACCAGTCACAAGAAAAGGAGAATGAAGCTTTCCAACGTGCAATGGCTCTAGCTGGAAAAGAGTTCCTCGAAGTAAGATCTCTCTTATATAACACTATGTGATTGCTTTCTAGTTTTTCTATGTCCATTGCAATGGTATTTTCTTTAAAGGTGAAATATGTTTACTGAAACAACTAAAGCTTATGGTAGCTTCTTTTTTACATTGTGTTGTAGAGTGTCCAGTTTCATGCAAGATCATGGTTACCGGCTCGATCAATTGTGATGCAGTGTCTTGAAGAAAGATTCAAGACAGATCCCAGTGGCGAGATCATGATATTGAATAAATTTTGCCCTGTAAGTGTTTCAATACTCTATTCCTCTTGTCGATGCTAGTACTATTTGAGTCTAAAGATATTAACACTGGTTCTCTTGTGAGAAGTGGAAGCTTCATTTGTTCGAGCTTGAGCAAGAAATGAAGATCGAACCTCTCATCAAATACGTCATCTACCAGGTACACCTTTTAAGATAGAACCTGTCATCAAATAATGGATCTCTAAAACTGGTTTGAAATGTGAAAAAAAAAAAACAGGACGAGAGAGGAAAGCAATGGAGAGTTCAAGCAGTGGCGGTTGCACCAGACAGGTTTGAGAACCGAAAGCCTCTCCCTGAGAAATGGAGAGGCCTTAGGGATGAGGAACTCTCGAAAGCTGCTGAGATTCCCGGTTGTGTCTTTGTCCACATGAGTGGCTTTATCGGCGGAAACCAATCGTATGACGGTGCTTTATGCATGGCTCGAACTGCACTCACTCTCTGACTCAGCTTTGGCTCGGCATCAAGAGAATCATTTCCTTATTACCCATAGAGAGAGAGAGAGAGAGAGTGGATTGCTTTTGTGTTCTTTAATTTCTGTTTTTATTGAGTGACCATTTGATATTTGATTGATTCTTTTTTGGATGGAATCATATCTTCACTATCTTTGATATACTTTGAATACTTATTTCATTCTGTAGAAATTATCTTCTAGTTCATGTACAACACGAGGATGTGTTAATGATGATGAAACCAATACGTTCCTTGAGGAAATAATTTTTCTACAAAATACTTAACTCTGTCAGAATCAATGGGGTGGTAAGGGAAAATATCACTGAAATTAAAGGATGCTATTCAATAATGGAATTTAATATAATTAAATTAAGGGTGATTTTGAAAAGGGCAATTTACACAAATGGCACTAAAAAAGTTTATTATTCCAAAAATGGCACTTTCTTTTGAAACTTCCAAAACTAGCACACAAAGTTTTTAATCCTCTAAAAATTAATTAAAATAGAATTTCATTTCTTCCTAACCCGACGGCTTTGCTTCCAACAAACCCGACGACTTCCAAAAACATGTCGCTTTCGACGACTCCGTCGCTCACCGGATCTGATTTCTTCACCGGAGATTCGAAGACTTTGCCGGAGATCCGCAGTATTCGTCGGATTCATTAGGCGTTATCTCCTCCGACGCCGATTGTGCAGGAAAATTGGATTCATTAGGCGTTTGTTGATCACTTCCCTTTTAGCAGGTTCCACAAAGCTTCTTCCCTCTTTGGGGATTTATTGTTCATTGTTGTATCAGTTACTAGAAGTTCGATTCTAGGTTTTATTGCTCCATTAATTCACTAGTTTTGTGTTGTCTTATGAAGACTAGAGATTTTGATTTTTGGCTTGGATTGTTCTGTAGCTTAGTTGTTGGAGACCATTGCATAGTAATTGAACATTTAAGAAATGTAGAGTTTAACTTTATGGTTTTTATAGCTCAATCAATTAGGTTGGATTGACTATTCTATTTGGGTTATTGCATTGAACATGGAAGAAATGCTGCATTATGTTGTCTCAGAAGATGTTTCATGTGCAACAACTAAGCTACAGAACAATAGATTTTAAGAGCTTGTTTAACTGAATTTTGATCTATTGGATCCTTTGTTGTGGTTTATACGCTCAGAGATGCTGTGGATCATTTAAGAATATTTGTTTCAGATTCTTATCAATAGCCTAGATTGTGTATGAAGAATAACAATGATTATGTCCTTGCATGGTTTTTACAGAAAGTCTTTGCTGATTTCTGTTATAGTTTAATACACTTGTATTAAAAATATCCTGAACTTTTGTATTAAGAAGAACGTGGCATCATACATGATGAAGACAAAGTATGATATTCATGGATTTCCTCTAGCACTACACATTTGGATTCTTGAGTCTATTCCAATGCTACAAACAGCCTACAGCCGAATCAGTTTAATAGAGAGGCCGACTGCATTCTTGTGTGAGAAATACACGAGCTTACCATCACCACAACTTTCTCAAATACAGAATATTGAAGCATCTAATCATGTAAATTCAGTCTCTTCTTTTTATGGTTTAAACTAGTTTTGGGAAAGATTTATAGTAATTCGGGATGACCTTCCTGATTTGGGAAGGATTTATAGTAATTCGGGATGACCTTCCTGATTTGGGAAGGATTTATAGTAATTCGGGATGGCCTTCCTAAATTATGTAATTGAATGTATTAAAGTCTGCTGAATGTGTTTGTTTTTGTGTAGCTGAATGTATTTTGCATCTTACCTTCAATACCTGATGATCCTGAAGATAAAGTTTCACTAGAAGACGAAGATGATCCAGAATTAGGTCTGCTGGTCGAGCTTCTAGGTAAAGGTTACAAAATGAAATCTGAAGATTGGACAAAAAGAACACTTGATGTAGGAGCCGTGATAGAAGAATTTGCAATGATTCAATGCCACTCGATGAGGATTGAAGATTTCTCCAAACTATGTGATCAAGATTCATAAGACATCATAAACAAGTTGGCTATCGATATCTTCAACAAGTGTGTTAACATTTCTCAGGACTATGTTTCTTTAATTATATGTATGCTGTTTGTGAAACCGTTTTAGACTGTTTTGGTACTTGTATGATGGTTCTAAGCTAGAAAAGTATCATATGTTTCTATTAGACAATGTAATGGCTTTTTGAGATCATCTGTGAAAAATTCAAGAAGGATTGTCGAATAATTCAGGAAAGAACCTATCAAATTCAGGAAAGCCTTCATAAAATATAAAAAAAACCACAAAAAATAAATAAATTCAACCACTACTTGAACCCAAGACCTATTGTTATTGTAACAAAACATGTAACCAGTAAACAAAGCTTCTCATTCGTGAATATCTTACAAATGAGCATCCTGAATATGTTTTAGGAAAGTCATCCTAAATATGTATGTGCCCTTCCTAAAACATATACAAATGAGCATCCTGCTCTATTCCATGTACAACACATATAGAAGAAGTTCCGACTGATGGATGAAGTACCTACAAGCAAAAAACATAGACAGGAAAATAGACAGAGAGTTAAAATTGAAAACACATGACTAGAAAGCATCATATCTGTATATTGCATTATTTAGGGAGGCCATCCTAAAATACACGTATCCTTCCTAAAACCTATGAAAATGAGTTTTTACCTTCTACTTTTCATGTGCAACCAACAAGATTTCTAATACAAAATCAAACTAAAAAAAAATCCAAAGAGACAACAAGATTAGCTGCAAAAGACAACAACATTCTTGTAATGTCTATACAATCCATGGGTGGAATACAAATGATTATAATATCCCAATTGGGCAAAACTTGGTGCTTCTAATAAGCTCTGTAGACTCTGTAAAATAAAATAGTTGTAGCCTGTTATTAGACAAAGGAAATCATGGATTGTATTGTTAGTTGTGATTGATGAACAAATTAAATAACACTCATAGTAAACTAGAAACTCGAGAGCAACAATCAAATCCAAGAGCTATTAATCAAGAACTAATCACTAAAAGAGTTCAAATCGAGAGCTAATCAAATGGAGGAGCTAATCAAATCCAGAACTATATCCACATCCAATCAAAGCGAGAGCTACACTCACAAGCTAATCAAATCTAGAGCAAAATCACAACGTTGATCAATTTTAGGAGCTACAAACCCAGAAATACATCCACATCGAACCAAATCCAGATCTACAATCACAAACCTCTAATCAAATGCAGGAGTTACAAATCGACATCAAACCATATCCAGAGCTACAATCATAAACGTCTAATTAAATGCAATGGAGGAGTTACAAATCCAGAGCTACAATCACATACCCATGATTTCGCCGTGAATCCCAGAAATTAACTCTCTGATTGCAGCTCTAAGATCGGAAGCTTCAACGGAATTGAAGATCGGAGATTGGAAGCTTTACCGGAATTGAAGATTGGAGATTGAAAGCTTCAGAGGAAACAACAATCGTAAGCTTCTCCGTCGAATGTGTTTAATGTTTATTTTCTATTTTAATTTATTAATATTTTTAAAAATTAAAAAGGGATTTAAAAATGCTATTTGTGGAACTTTAGATTTTGAGTGCTAAATGTGTCCATAAAACTTGTTTAAGTGCTATCCGTAAGAATTTCTCTTTTGAAAAATACCCTGTTTTTGAGTTATACTTTGAAATCCTAATCTACACAATCTAAGGTTTTTCTCTCTTCTCTCTCTTAAATCTTTTAGAGAGAGAAACTCTGTTTCTTCCGCCGTCCGGATATTTCCGGTAAAGCCGTCCGGTTAATTCCGGCAAAGCCGTCCGGTTGTTGCAACCGGTTTCAGTCCGACAACCACCGGCTTATTATGCGATGGTTGGGTCGTCTATCATTTCCGTCATTGACCGTTTCTTTTTACGGTGATGGACGGCTTGAGTCCGGCATGTGTCGGCTCTTTCGGCGACATCATGGTCGGTTTTCGTCTAGGGTTTCACTGTCTCGTCTCTGTGATTCGTCTAGCTTCGGTTTATCTTTTGATTTGGTTTTTGTTGTTTGTGAAGTTGCTTCTTCTCGAAGGTTCCGACAGCTTCCTTTGCCTTGGAGAATTCACTTCGATTCGAGTCTCTGTTGGTGCATAAAAAAATTGGGATTTTGGATCTGTTTTTCGAACCATCCTTTGACTTGATTTGTTGGGAAGCTGCAGGTTTTTGAAGCAATATCTCAGTCTTCGTTTTGTGACATAATGAATAAAAAAGAAGATGTTTCTTTTAGCAGTTCAGGATGCTTTTGTTGCTTTAGAATTAGTTTGGGCACAGTGGTTTTGAAGGTTCTGTGACGGTTTTCAGTGTACCGGAGAAGATGTTCCGGTGACTCCATTTTGCTGGCATCATTACTCAGGCCACTTTGATGACTCACCTTTTCTTTGGCTGATTGTGCAACACGTGGATTCATCCTTATCTCTTTGTTATCGCTTTTGATATTTTATTTTAGTTTGGCTTTTTAATCAGGGTTAAGCTTCTAGTGTAGATTGTTTTAGTTTTATGCTTTTATCTGTTTAGTTGTTTTATAATCAGAATAGAAGTTATCACCCTGCTCGGATGTTAAGATGGTGAGCAAGAAGCAACCATACTACAAGCATATGATGGAAGCTATAAGATCAGCTCTAAACCTTTGAGTTTTGATGTTTGGTCTTATTGAGATTAGTTATGATGTTGCTGTTAACAAGCTACCATTTCACAACGTTCCCTTTAGTGGCAGAATGGGTTGTACTTTACTTGTATTTGGTTGATTGTAAAATTTGTTGTTGTATCTTGTACTTGCCTCTCCAACATGGATTCTCCATTGATGGATGATGCTGTTTGGATGTTATATATACAAAGACACCCTTTGGAAAAAAAAAAACTTTAAATGATCTTGGTACCGTCTTTGTTGACGAAGTTTGAGCAGCTTAAAAAAAAAAAGCATGACTATTGGTGAATATTTCTTGATTTATACGGATTTGAAATTTTAATTTTTATAAAACGTTTTAAGGAAAAAAAATCGATAATGCATGGAGAAGATGGTTGCCATCAGACGATTAAACAAACAGTAACTAATATTGGGCCGATGCGTGTAGGCCCATAAAAGCCCATTAAGAGAAGGAAACCCTAAAAACGAGAACAAAGGGATATACTGAGAGCATCTCGTTGGTTACAAGCTTTAGGCTGCTCTAACGCCTCCTTGCACCTCTTTTCTTCTCTCTCTCTTTCGTTCTCTTCAAGGTTAGTCTTCTTCTTCTCGTAGATCGTCGATGAAATTTCTCTTTGTTCCGTTTTGATGTTTAGATTATCGCGTTCTGCTGTTGATCTATGTTTATATCGCTCTGTTATCTCAATCAAAGAACCTTTGATGATTTATATCTGATTGTTGTTTGTTTCGACGAGTCTCTGTAGTTTTTGTACCGTTTGTTTTTCGTATCGATCTGGTTTAGATAGGTCTTTTATAGAATGAAACAACTCTGAATAGATCAAACGTTTTTCATAATCTCTTGTGTTTACTGTCTTTATGCATCATTCATCTTCTTCTTCTTCGACGATTTGCTCTGTAACTCTCCGAATTGATTTTTCAATTTCATCTGATTTTGTTTAAGGTTTCCTTTATCTGATTTTATCGGTTTGGGGTTTATTGTTGTAATAAAATTGATAAGGGGGGGGCACAAATCCAAACCGACTTGCCGTAGTATTAATAAAGAAGTCCTATTCGCCGTTCGCCATTCGCAGAGTAAACAATTTCTAGAGAGGATGGAAGATAACAAAATTTTGGGAGGAGACCTTCACAAAAATATGAAGGAGGAGTTGGAACGCAAACGCAGAAAGGTAATTCCTCGGTTCCATATCTCTAAAATAATCCCTGAATCGGGTTTCATCTCTGTTTTCGTCTAGGTTTAGGGTTTCATGTATTCGTGGGATCGAAATTGTCGGTTCCATCTCTCAAACAGTCGTGAATCGGATCTGATCTTTTTGTTTCCTGAACCGGATCTGATTCACTTTCGTATATCGAATTCGAATTCGTCGAATAATTGTTTCAAAGTCGCCACGGCTGCTTCTGATATCCTAAGTCTATATTTTCTTGTATGCAGATGGGAGATTTGCAGCCATTCGCGAGTAGGATGGGAGACTTTAACAAAAATTGGGTGAGGTTCGAAAATAACAGAAAGTTGGAGATGTTGGAAGGCAAACGCAGAAAGGTAATTCCTCGGTTCCATATCTCTAAAATAATCTCTGAATCGGATTCCTTCTCTCAAACACTCGTGAATCGGATCTGATCTTTTGTTTCCTGAACCGGATCTGATTCACTTTCGTATATCGAATTCGAATTCGTTGTTTCAAAGTCGCCACGGCTGCTTCTGATATCCTAAGTCTATATTTTCTTGTATGCAGATGGGAGATATGCAGCGCCTAGCGTGCCAACGACTCATGTGTGATCAGTACTCTCGTCTTGGCCATTGCAAAAGAGGTGACCGATGTCCATTCCTTCATGGCAAGCGAATGAAGCCCTTGTATCGGAATATGTAAGTCTTAGTTTATACATATGTTTCTGCATCACATACATACATACATGATGAATTCTTCTTTCTTTGTCATGTTTTAACAGTTCTGACAATCCAGAACTAGTTGCGTTCATGATGAAAAACGGTAACATGCCTGCATGTCCACCAGAGGATCCCACCGTGAAGATGCTTTACGTCAAGCGACTGAGCAGGACGACACTCGTTGAGGAGGACCTGCGAGACTGTCTCAGCGCTTATGGAGATATCGAATCTATCAGAATGGTGCAAGAGTCAGGAAACAAAAAGATCAGATCCGATTCACGACTGTTTGAGAGGCAGCAGAGAAATGCATGGAAGATCTCAAAACTTGGGTTGAGATCAAGGGTCACAAGCTGAGAATTTTGTGGGTTTACCAGTACCAGCCTCATCGATACACTACCATTTCCTCCAACCAACATGGTGTTGTCACTGCATAGAGATATTTCGATGCCGCACTCGCATTTGTTCTCTCTTTATTTAATATAGAGATATTTCGATGCCGCTACCTCTATCCTATCTTCGACAAGAGCCTATCCTATCTATAGAGTGTTTTCTTGGAATATCTCTATGCGTTTTGTCTATCATCGATTCTACAGCCACCCTGGCACTTATCCCTTCATAGCTCTCTTGCTTTGAGTTCAATCGTAAGCTCAATATCTCTCCCGATTTTTGATTAATCCTTTTCGGAGAAGCAAGAAACTTGAAACCCGATCAATTTCCGAAGCCATCATTACTAAATTCGAGAGGAAATGGCGGAAGATAAAGCTCACAGAATCGCCGGTGACGCATTTTCCGATGCCTGGAAAAAAAAAACCGGTTGAACGGTGTCCAAATAGCCTAATTTTAACCGCTTTTATACCGATACGGTTTAATATGCGTAGGCCAAATTAGGTTTTGGACCGCCCAAAATGGGCTATATCTTTATAAAATCAGAGACGGTTTGGAAAAAAGTCAAAGTCAACACGGGTCAACGCAAAACGGACACGGGTCAACGAAAAACGGACCCACGCAAAACAGGCCCCGTTTTACATGATAATCCACATAAATCGACCTCGATTTGTGTGCCAAACCGTGTCTAAACCGTGTGCGAACCGTGTCCCAATAGCCGGATTTTTAATTAATTTGTACGGACCCGGTTTAATATGTTTGGGCCAAATAAAGATTTTGGGCCGCCTATTATGAGCCTAAAAAACACTTTATCTCCCTTTAAAACACGATCACTCTTTTTCTGAGATCAAATGACGACGGCTCCGATGTTATATTCCGCCGGAAACTCCCTCTTATGGAGGAACCGTACACCCATACCACCGTCTCGACCTCCGCCTTCTTTCAAATCTCTCGTCTCTCCCTTCTCTTCCATTTTAGTGTTTATGATGAACAGAACCAGAATTTCCCCTATTTCTTGCTCAGCTGAAATCTCCTCGAATGTTGCCCTCGCGCAGAGCCAGCCTTCCTCTGATTACAATCGTAAGCTCTATACCTCTCCCTCGATTCCTGATTTTGATTGAGCCTCCCCGGAGAATTAACAGTGTCTCTGTTTGTGTAGCCTTGTCTGATTTCGCTCAAAATGTTTCTGGCGAATGGGACGGTTTCGGAGCAGATTTTTCACGGGAAGGGAAACCGATTGAACTATCAGTGGTTCCAGAAGCTTATAGAGAATGGGAAGTGAAGGTGTTCGATTGGCAAACGCAGTGTCCCACTCTTGCTCAGCCTGATGATGCAGCCACTCGTTACTGCATTGACGAGAGGAGCATTGGTTCTGCGTTAGCCTATTCGTATTCTTTCATTGGCTCCTATGTTGCTGTGTGGCCTCTGGGGAAGAACAATAGTAACCAGCTAGAGGTTGAGCATTGTCTCATCAATCCAAACGACAAGGTGTCTCGTGTGAGGGTTATCAACTTAGCAGAGACGGAGGTGTTATTGGGATGGTCCCTTCAGGATGGTGATCAGCTCGTAGCTCTACCTTTGCCTCTACACCTACCACAGCAGCTTCAGTTGTAACCGGTTCTTGGAGAGTTCTACTAGCTTTCAGTCCTCTGATTCCAGTGTATACAACCATTCAATGATTGATTAGGTGGTTTATGATTGTGAGAATGTTCAGGGTTGTATTCAACAAGTTACTGGCAAGAAAGTGATTGGTACTGTGATGCTCACATCAAGAAAGCAACGACGGAGAAAGGGTATTTTCAGTAGGATGGTTGTTTGAGCCAGGCCATGCTATCAGATTTAGCTTTGTCTTCTCCAAGGATTCTAAGCTAAAGGTAAAACAATAATCATTCTTATAATTTTCTTTATAGGATATGGGCATATATGTCACATTACAATAATCTCAAATGAATCCTTCCCTATATGAATGATGTTGGTTCAATACATATCATTACATCTTAGAGTTGCACAACCTTTGTTGATTCAATCTTTACTGAAAGCTTTGTAGCTTTTGCATCTCGTGGCTCAGCTCTATCAACAACGCAGACCAGTCTAGACTATCACTTCGAGCGGAACAATAGCACTAGTGCTCAATGAAGGTAATTTTCCAGATGAATCAAAGTTCAAAAATTTGTTTTCAGGTTCCGATTACATTTGATGGCAATAGCTAAAAGTGCGGCTCAACATTTAAAGAAAGATGATTGGATTCTTATTTATGTGAAGCTATTTGTGTAGCTCAATCAGCTTCCCAAAAATAAGAATCTGATCATCATTCTTTAAATATTGAACCGCACTTTTAGCTAGATTGCCCTCAAATGTAATCGGAACCTTGAAAACAAAATTGTGAACTTTGATTCATCCGGAATGGGCATGGGCACCTGCATCGCGCAACATGTCCTTACAGCAGCAGATGATTCAAATCCGTTTTGGAGGATCTTGGAAAAGGCTGTGAAGGACGCTAGAGATAAGACTAGTAAGCCTGAGATATTCCCTGCATCAACAGACGCTCGTTACTTTTGGAAAGCTGGTGAGCCTGCTTTTGGGGTCTCTCCTCTATCAAACACTCCAAGTTTGCTTCACAAATCCGAGATATTGTGCTAAGTAGTTTATCTGTTTGTCTAAGTTCATATTCGAAGACATGCTCTAGTGGTCGACATGTTTTAATGAGTGGTCAATTACCTTTCAGGTTTTCACAATTGCAGCAGCTGATGAAAGGAAGAACATTGTATTGTTGGCCTTTGAGACAATGGAAAAAATTGTCCGAGAGTATTTTTCATATATCACAGAGACGGAGGCAACAACTTTTACTGATTGTGTTAGATGCCTTATAACTTTCACAAACAGTAAGTTTACGAGCGATGTTAGCCTGAATGCTATCGCGTTCCTACGGTTTTGTGCTCTAAAACTTGCAGAGGGAGGCCTTGTGTGGAATGAGAAGGGTAGGTCTAGCAGTCCCGGTACTCCAGTCACAGATGATCATACACCAACTTCCCAAAATTTTATGGAAGCAGATGAGAACATATCATATTGGGTTCCTTTGCTCATAGGTAATCTGATATATTTTCTTAATCTGTGAATAAAATCTCGATTGAAATGCATCACAGATATTTCTGGGCACCTTACAATTTTCGTATTCACATATTTCATTGATAATTCTTTCAACTTGGTTGATATTGATTTGCTTGGAAGTTAGGAAAGAACAGTTCCCTGTATTCTAATCAAATTTTTTTTATTGTTGTCACAGGATTGTCTAAACTAACTTCTGATTCGAGATCAGCAATTCATAAAAGCTCCTTGGAAGTGCTCTTTAATATTTTAAACGATCATGGGCATCTGTTTTCACGAACATTCTGGATGGGCGTTTTCAGTTATGTTATCTATCCTATATTTAACAGTGTGTGGGGCGAGAATGATATGCTTTCTAAAGATGAATAGAGTTCATCGCCATCCACATTTTCTCCACGTCCTAACGAAGCTTCTTGGGATGCTGAAACTTCAGCTATGGCGGCACAGTCTCTGGTGGACCTATTTGTCAGCTTTTTTACTGTTATAAGGTCCCAACTTTCAAGTGTAGTATCTTTACTCGCTGGTCTCATAAGAAGTCCAGCTCAGGGTCCTACAGTAGCTGGAGTGGGTGCGTTGCTGTGGCTAGCGGACGAACTGGGTGGCAGTTTCTCAGAAGATGAGTGGAAGGAGATTTTTTTGGCTGTGAAAGAAGCTGCTTCATTGACATTGTCTAGCTTCATAAAAATACTGAGAATCGTAGATGACATTCCAGATGAGGAAACATTGTCTGATCAGGACTTTAGTAATGAAGACGATGTGGACGAGGACAGCCTGCAAATTATGTCTTATGTTGTTTCAAGAACAAAGAGTCACATAACCGTCCAGTTGCAAGTTGTTCAGGTATGTACAAATTGTTGTATGTTTTACTTTACCATATTGGCTCCAGAATAATTGATCTAAAGCCATCCATCTCTCATTCGTCTATTTTTTTGCTCCTGTTTTCAAGTAGTGACTGATCTCTGCCGAATCCATCAGCAGTCATTGTTGGCATCACACGTCACAGTTATACTGGATATACTCTCTTCGTTGTCATCACACGCCCACCAGCTAAATTCTGATTTGATACTGCAGAAGAAACTGAGGAGGGCATGCTCTATCCTGGAGCTATCCGAACCTCCCATGCTTCATTTCGAAAATGACACGCACCAGAACTACCTGGATGTTCTCCAAGACCTACTGACATACAATCCAGGAGTGTCCTTGGAGCTAAACATAGAGTCTGAACTGATCACAGTGTGTGTGAAAATACTGAAGGTGTACCTGAAATGCACGTTGTTTCAGGGAGGTGCCGAGTTGGAAGAGACCAGGCAGCCTAAAAACTGGATTCTACCCATGGGAACAGCATCGAAGGAAGAAGCAGCAGCGAGATCTCCGCTAGTAGTTACAGTGTTGAAGACACTGAGGGGACTGGAAAGAGATTCATTCAAGAGGTATGCACCGAATTTCTTCCCGTTGTTGGTGGAGCTTGTGCGAAGTGAGCACAGCTCCGCACAAGTCCCACAAGTCTTAAGCACCGTGTTCCTTACGTGTATGGGTCCAATGATGGGTGAATAGAATAGGGATGGGCTATATAAATTACGATGTATTTTGACATTTGGAGCAGCTGAAGGATATATAGATTGCAAGCAGACACAAATCCCTCTTTTTCTTCTTTTGTTGTTTCTGCTAGATTTACAGGTTTTGTGCGTTTGGTTGGTAGTGATGATATAAAGTAATTGAATATTGTTATAGAAGCTAAAAGAATTGGATTATGAGATTTGGGTTATCTGCACTGCCTGATTTCGATTGTGAATGCAAAAAACTCTCTTGAGCATACATATGTTTCTGCATCACATACATACATACATGATGAATTATTCTTTCTTTGTCATGTTTTAACAGTTCAGACAATCCAGAACTAGTTGCGTTCATGATGAAAAACGGTAACATGCCTGCATGTCCACCAGAGGATCCCACCGTGAAGATGCTTTACGTCAAGCGACTGAGCAGGACGACACTCGTTGAGGAGGACCTGCGAGATTGTCTCAGCGTTTATGGAGATATCGAATCTATCAGAATGGTGCAAGAGTATAATGGCGCTGCGTTTATCACATATGGAACCCGAGAGGCAGTAGAGAAATGCATGGAAGATCTCAAAACTTGGGTTGAGATCAAGGGTCACAAGCTGAAAATTTTGTGGGTTTACAAGTACCAGCCTCATCGATACACTACCATTTCCTCCAACCAACAGGGTGCTGTCACTTCAACTCAAGAGGGAGCTTCGTCTTCATCTTCTGCTCTCGAGGTGAAGAGGAGGAAAATCGAGTGAGAGACATTTTGATCTCAAACCCTACCTTTTGTGCTACTGTTTTTATTGTTCGAAAAACATGTTTGAATCTTCATATTTTGATCTCAAACCCTACCTTTTGTGCTACTGTTTTTATTGTTCGAAAAACATGTTTGAATCTTCATATTTTGATCTCAAACCCTACCTTTTGTGCTACTGCTTTTATTGTTCGAAGAACATGTATGAATCACGTTATAATACATTTCTTGTCCTGCTTATCGTGTTAGTTACTCGGAGTCACCAGAGCTAGATAGTATAAGCCAAGCTGGTGATCTCTCACATTTCAGGACCTGCACTTACATTTGTGCTACTCAGCTGATTTCAACTACAATGTCATTTGAATGTATCCAACACATCAAAGTAGAGTTATTTTATGAAAGCTTTGTTCAGAGGTGAGAACAACCTGAGCTTATGGAATTATTTTACTGTAATTCGAGAGAAGAAGGATTTGTAATTCTTCATGAAAGCTTTGTTCTGAAATATACTCTGTTTCTGGAATTCGAATAGCATTAATGAAACTCTTTAAATGTTTTTTTTTTTTTTTTTTCTTCTCTCTCTTAAATCTTTTAGAGAGAGAAACTCTGTTTCTTCCGCCGTCCGGATATTTCCGGTAAAGCCGTCTGGTTAATTCCGGCAAAGCCGTCCGGTTATTGCAACCGGTTTCAGTCCGACAACCACCGGCTTATTATGCGATGGTTGGGTCGTCTATCATTTCCGTCATCGACCGTTTCTTTTTACGGTGATAGACGGCTTGAGTCCGGCATGTGTCGGCTCCTTCGGCGACATCATGGTCGGTTTTCGTCTAGGGTTTCACTGTCTCGTCTCTGTGATTCGTCTAGCTTCGGTTTATCTTTTGATTTGGTTTTTGTTGTTTGTGAAGTTGCTTCTTCTCGAAGGTTCCGACAGCTTCCTTTGCCTTGGAGAATTCACTTCGATTCGAGTCTCTGTTGGTGCATAAAAAAATTGGGATTTTGGATCTGTTTTTCGAACCATCCTTTGACTTGATTTGTTGGGAAGCTGCAGGTTTTTGAAGCAATATCTCAGTCTTCGTTTTGTGACATAATGAATAAAAAAGAAGATGTTTCTTTTAGCAGTTCAGAATGCTTTTGTTGCTTTAGAATTAGTTTGGGCACAGTGGTTTTGAAGGTTCTGTGACGGTTTTCAGTGTACCGGAGAAGATGTTCCGGTGACTCCATTTTGCTGGCGTCATTACTCAGGCCACTTTGATGACTCACCTTTTCTTTGGCTGATTGTGCAACACGTGGATTCATCCTTATCTCTTTGTTATCGCTTTTGATATTTTATTTTAGTTTGGCTTTTTAATCAGGGTTAAGCTTCTAGTGTAGATTGTTTTAGTTTTATGCTTTTATCTGTTTAGTTGTTTTATAATCAGAATAGAAGTTATCACCCTGCTCGGATGTTAAGATGGTGAGCAAGAAGCAACCATACTACAAGAATATGATGGAAGCTATAAGATCAGCTCTAAACCTTTGAGTTTTGATGTTTGGTCTTATTGAGATTAGTTATGATGTTGCTGTTAACAAGCTACCATTTCACAACGTTCCCTTTAGTGGCAGAATGGGTTGTACTTTACTTGAATTTGGTTGATTGTAAAATTTGTTGTTGTATCTTGTACTTGCCTCTCCAACATGGGTTCTCCATTGATGGATGATGTTGTTTGGATGTTATATATACAAAGACACCCTTTGGAAAAAAAAAAAAAAGTTATACTTTGAAATATACTCCTTTTCTATTTTATTTTAATAAATATTATAATTATATATAAGATAACAATTTTGTTCAAATTTAAATTTAGAGATATATTTTTAATAAATAAGAAAATCGAAATTTAGAGAAAATATGTACTAAATTCGAAATAATATAATTATGGTTATATATATTTTCAACACAAAAATAGTTTATTTATTTTGATATATTAAATTTTAACAATATTATAAAGTCTATCGCTTAATATCTATCATATTATGTTTTTTCAATAATAATGAATCATTAAAATTTCCACCATATGACTTAACAAAAAATCATACTTAACATTGGTAGAATGCTATTATTCATTATTGTTCTTAAAAAATATTTAGGATAATGAATCTTTGGAACTATTAGTTATATAACATTAAAAGTTACAAAACAACATCCATGGTGAAAGACGAACATGATTTGGTCTACGGACAACTTTTTAAAAATTAGATATTTAATTATTACCAACAAATTGATTTAATATTCATAATATAGATCCCTTTGCTTAATTATTATTAAGTTTCAATAAGAATATTTTTAGTAATTTTATAACTTTACAAATTATTTTTAAAAGAAAAACAAAAAGAGGGTATTTTTCAAAAGTCTAAACAAAAAGAGGGTATTTTTCCAAATTTACTCTTAAATTAAAGCATAATTCAAATTAAAAATTCTGGTATCATTGAATATGTTGTTCATTGTGGATGTCGGATTCACACACTCAAGTATTTTTATTAAGTAGGAAAGATTACTCTTGAGAGACAAAAAATGAATATGTAAAAAGCTTATGAATTGCTACAAAAATTGCTCTAGTATTTCTTACTCGAGAGGAAGATCCCCTTTTTCATGGCCATTGACCCTTATATTTATACATAGAAAAACGACATTTAAATTGTTAATTAAATACAATTATTCTCTCTTAAATGTGTCCGTTTTGGTCTTTGACTTTAATGCTCAACGTTCGAATTTTGAGTTGACTCCATTCTTCATGGGCCTCGCCTTTTGGCCCAAATAACCTTGAACCGACTTAACCGTGACTTCGACGCTGGACTCATGTCGAAGTGCAGTCACTTCGGATTATCCTTGTGGTGATAACCACTTCGACTGTTCCTTTGGCTTACGGATCCAACGGGCTTTATCCTTTATGGGCCTTTATCTTGACTACGTGGCAATCTTTGGTTGGTCTCGAACTTCTGGTGCGGGATCCGACACCAACAATTAGCCCCCCAAGTTTTTCGAAGTGCTATTCCAATTCGGAGGACTTCAAATGCTTTAATGACCAAAGATTGCGTTTCGAGGAATCTTCTAATTTTCCCGCCAAGATCCCATCAGTCCTTTAATTTCGGCGCTATCCATGTTTAGTCGCGTGACATCTGTCATCATCATGACCGTATCTCAATTATTTACAATTAAAGCGGGAAACCTTTCCACTTCCCCCACGATTCCCAAGGCGGTTTCACCATTATCACTTAACTTCTGTGAGGTAACTTCTTTCATCATTACTTCTTTTTACTCTTACGTTTTAGCCGAAACTCCTCTCTTCTCTTTCTTCGCCGACTCTTTCTTTGCCGGATTTTAAATTCCTCATCTTTTCCGATGACTTCTGACTCCGAAAGACCCGAGTCTCCATCCTTTGAAGGTGGCTCTAGTAATGACGAATGCACTCGTCCTAACGATATCGCAGGTCCGCACTACAGATCCACCTGTACCCTTCAATCCCTAGAGCGATTAAAGGGGCTTTGCCAGATTCCTCCCGGAATCATAGCGGAAGCGCAGATAGCCGACCCTTCGGAGTCCCGGGAAAACCGTGACGGCTATTTTTGTGTCTATGAAATCTACTTCAAGAGCTGCGGATTGACTTTCCCCCTTCCCAAAGCCCTAGTTCGATACCTAGCGGCTCTTGAGATCGCTTTACCTCAGCTAACCCCCAACCTCCTCCGAACCATCCTCGGAATCATAACTGTTGCGGCGGAAGCGGACTACATTATCGGGGTCCCCGAACTGAACGAACTTCTAAGCGTGAGAAGTTCATCAAAGAAAACAGGGTACTTCTCGGCGTATCCAAATGCCAATAGGAACGTCATCTCGCATCTCCCAAACAAGGATGAAAACTGGCACCATCCTTGGTTCCTGATTAAGAAAACTCCTACTTCGATTGGAAATCTTTCCGACGTACTCCCATCGAAGTGGTCTGCGAAGCCTGGTAGAAATTAGGTCGTATATTCCTTTCCTGGTTTTATTATTTTTTACTGACCAAACTCGTTGTTTCACTTCGCAGCTCTCATCGCTTCAACTCTTCCGACTGAAGAATTTGTCAAGTTCTTCAAAACAATCCTTGAAGGGGAAACCCTCTGGAATTCTTTCACCCTCGATCGGTTCATTGAAGCCAATCGAAAACTCAGGATGAGTCCCCCCAACCAACTTCATCGTCTTCCGCCTCCTCCCTCAACCCAGGGAATGTCAGCTCGGGCCTTCGTTGCCCAACGTAAGAAACTCTCCAAGCCGATAGCAGAGGCTTGTGATGAAAACAAGGTGTTCCTTGCGGCCGCCATTGACAAAAAAGACTACAGCATGACCCTGCTGGTTGATGACAACAGCATCGAGGGAGCCAGATCCTTTGCTGCTTTCAGATTGACTCCTCGTGACGAACGTCGTGACGAACGCTCTCCTCGGAGGGATCGATCTCCTCGTCGTGATTCACCTCGTCCTCCCCGAGATGATTTTAGCAATGAACCACTTAAGAACTTGGTTCGCAGGAAGAGGGACAAATCCTCTCGTAGTGATTCTTCCCCGCGGAGGGAGAAGTCGAGGGCCCGGACTGACCGTTCACCCCGATCATCCCCTCCTACTGAACCAATGGGTCCTCCTCGACCTGTTGATATGTCTTCCAAGCCTGATAGCGAGAAGACTGATCGGAGTGCATCTCCTAAACAGGGAGATTCTGAGTCTCGAGATGCTCCCTCGAAGTCCAAGCCTGCTCTTGTTCCCCAAGTCAAATCACTTTCAGGTTTGGTGATTTACACACACTCAACAGTTTTTATCTTTGCTAAGATTCCAATTTTTACAAATCTTCTTCCTTCGCAGCTATGGAGAAAGAAGGCAGCGCCTCCCGATGCTTCAAGACCCGATCGGGTACGATCTTGCCAGATTTCAACAAGTGGCGCCCTGCGATCCGTGAACGCTACTTACTTCACGCTCATCACTCATCTCGGGTTAGTTCCGCTTTATTTTTCTGATTGCATTGCCATTCTTCGAACTGAATTGCCATCCCGGGTTTATGTATAATGCCAGGCTAACGGCGAGCTTAACGACATGATTGAGCATTACGAAGGGTTGGTCATTGGACGGGAGAAGGAAATCGATACGTGGAAGAAGAAACTTTCTGCTCTTGAGGCTGAACTTAGTTCTTCTACCGGCTCCAAGCACAATCTGGAGGACAAGGTCGACAGTTTAACATCCGAGCTTACGAAGATAAAGGGGGAGCTGCAAGACCAGTACGACCGGAATTACAAACTCCAGGATGAACTTTCTGGTGTGCAGGGTAGACTTCATGAATCCGAATCAACCGCCGATACCCTGAACAACCAACTTATCGAGCTTAACGCGAAGTACAAGGCGATAACCAAGTTGCGTGATTCCGAGTTGGCTAGGTCGGCGTCGAAAGCCAGAAAAGAGGTTAAGGGATGCGGGATGGAGTTGATCCAAGGGGCCATTCGCTTCATTCAAACCGAGAGAGCTAGGTCAGATCTGGAGTCAGACATCAAGGAGCACGAGAGCAACCTGATTCTGTTGGATCAAATCCATGATGCAGATTTCTCCGAGGTGCAAGAGAGGACCGAACTGTCAGATAATCTCTTTGAAAAGCGGAGTCGCTTGTCAGCTCTTCCCACTTCGACTTTCAACCCGCAGGACTTTGAGGAATTCTTCACAGAATCGCCTCCTATAAGTGAATCGGGTCTCGACTGGGCAGGTAACCTTTGGCTCCTAACATTTACTACCTTTTTCTTGCCTTATATTTTTTATTTGACTGGAACTGTTTTTCCTAGGCTCAAGTGGGACGGAAGATGTCATCCCACCCGAAGTTCCCGCGGCACCGGAGGTCACCCCGGAGGATGGTTGTATCGTGGAGAGCGGTCCAGGAGCTTCATCTGATCAAGCACCAATCAAAGAGGCGAGTGAAACTTTGACAGCCGAAACGGAATCCGAGGTGGCTGTTAATCCATAGTGGCTGTGTCCACTTTAAACTGGGAATTGTCCCGCTTAGTTTAAAACTAAATTTCGAACTTGTTTTTGCCTAAGGAGGCTTTTATAATTTCTTTTGAACAAGATATTTGCCTGAGGAGGCTTTTAAACCTTTCTAGGTTATGACCCCAAGGGGGTTTGGTTAAAAATATGTGCGGGTTTGCAAAGTCCGCTTTTAACCCTTTGTGGCCTTGTGGTTATGCTTTCGAGATTTTTAGGTTGATCAGACCTTTCTCTTTAGAATGCGAGAACTGAGCTCGGCTTATTGCGAGTTCCCCACTTCGGGTTTAGTCAACTCGGTAAATTTGTTGGGCTTGGGCCTTAAAAACTCTTTATAGTTAATGATTTTTTTTTAAGAAAGAATGCGACGGTTGATCTTTCAACCCTTGAAAATAGGAAAAGCGGTGCATCTTTAAGGCAATAACTGCATTTTCTCGATTTCCAAAAATGGTTTAAACCATTAGGGCACGCCACCATTATTGAATTTTCATTCCCAAGACAAACCCTACCCCTATTATAAATAGGAGTTTGTTCGCCTTTGATCTTTTCTTCAAGAAACTTGATAACTCGTTCAATAAACACCACATTAATGGAGAACGAAAACGCAGCCCCCGTTGATCCCGACAGCCCACTCTTTTTATCCGGTGATGGTTTTGAACCGGCCGGCGTTCTTTTCCCTCACGCCGTCTTTCACTTTCCTTCAAAGGAGAAGAAGGAGGCTTGCGACTTTATTGACAAGGTTAATATCCGTCGTCCTTGATTAAAAACTTTCTGTTTTATTTTATTCATTCATCTTTATGCTAGGTCGCCGACAAACACCGTCGCCTGTGTGAGGAGAGGCAGCGGCTAGGTCTCAAAAGGCAGACACTCGAGGCTCGCATCACTCGGGTGGAGAGGAAGATAAGGGCTCTGGAAAGTGATCCCTTTCAATGGGAATGGCGGAACTTCGATTCTGTTGCTGAGATCTCGAAGATGCTTCGGATGTATCTCCGTGCTAAAGGAGTTCCGGGTCCCATGAATGCCCCGGTCTATACCGTTCCATCTGATAGCGAGGAAGAAGACGAGGAGGAGGCCAGTACCAATCGGAAACGCGTTCGAGATCGTCCCAAAGTGGATGCCAAGAACAAGGCGTCCACTTCGGAAGTTAAACCGGCGATGAAGGAGCCTGTTCCTGAGCCTCTTCCTTAAATGTTCCCTAACTCTGCTTTCGTTTTTTTTTTTTTTAAACTCGTAATGGGCTTCGGCCCCCTTTTTATTTATGGAAACTCTTGCAACTTTCCTTATTCTTCAAAATATTCTCGGTGATACGACTTTTAATGCAGGATCGGTTTAGGGCTTAAATCTCTCCGCGAATCACTCCATTCCTAGGATAGAATCTGCAGCTTACTAGGGATATGACATTCCTATAAATTATAGTCTCAATTTCCCTTTACTCCTCACCACTCTTTTTCATTTTAGCAGACATGGAGTTCAACCTTCGATGTTCAGAATCTATGTCCGACTTCTCCAGGATCGGAATGATAAACGAAGATGTTCCAAATGAGCCAAACAGGCAGCCTCCTCCACCTCGCGGCTTCTTCAGATCTCAGATCCGAGCTCCATGTGCTTTGATCAGGGATCTCCCCATTAGAGACCAAGGAACAGCGATGGCATTCATAGAGGCACTCGCGCTTCAACATCGGAAGATTACATTGGAAAAGAGGAGACTCCGGAAGAGGATTAACCGGATGCAACGCAGGCTTACTACGGTATCAAGAGATCTTCACATCCTTGAATCTCACCCCGGAGAATGGATCGAACTTGGAATCTCTGACTTCGCTCGAATTCCAGACTGCATGATGTCAATCCTTGACCTTGCTGGCCAAGGAGTCGAAGTGTTCTGCTCGTCAACAAGATCTCCATAATCCGAAGTGTACGATGAGGGATATTTTGCCTTATTTGCTTGAATAAACGCTCTATTTCCAATTTCTTGTATGTTCGCATAGCCGAACTTTTATTTGCTTCGCTTGTTCGCATAGTCGAACCTTTTCCTTTAATACAGAAATAAAACAAAAATTTTTATTAATAGCTGAACTCGTTTCCGAGCTGCCTACGTACCCATTTCGGGATCAAGCCACACCGTATTTCATGTACATAAAAAATGCATGTAGCTTTAAACATAGAACTTCTTTAGGTTGATCACATTCCAAGGTCGCTTGACTGGCCTGTCTTCTAAGTCTTTCAGCTTATAAACACCGCTCCGAACCACCTCGGTAACAATGTAAGGCCCTTCCCAATTGATGCCGAGTTTACCGGCACCTTCTTCCTTTTTATTGTCAAAGACGCGCCTTAACACATAATCTCCCACGAAGAACGGCCTACTTTTGACTTTAGAGTTGTAATATCGGGCTGCTGCCTGTTAGTAATTCTGAATCCGAATCAAAGCTTGATCACGCCTTTCATTTATGGTATCTATTGAATCATTAAGCATTGCTGAATTTTCCTCTTCATTTAACGGTGCTTCTGTTCGGCGAAGTCCGGGAACGTTTAGTTCAGCTGGTACCACCGCCTCCATACCATAAACCAAAGAGAATGGAGTTTCTCCGGTAGGTCGCCTAGGGGTTGTACGATATGCCCATAGGACAGGTTGGAGTTCTTCATACCATCCTCCCTTTAGATGATTTAAACGTTTCTTGAGATTGCTCAATATCGTCTTGTTCGCGGCTTCAGCTTGACCGTTTCCTTGCGGATATCGTGGAGTAGAATAACTAACTTTGATCCCCCAGTCCGCACAAAAAGCATCAAACTCGTGTGAAATGAATTGTGGTCCGTTATCAGTGACTATTTCGTACGGAACTCCATGTCGACATATAATGTTTTTCCAAATGAAAGTTTTCACCGCCGAATCCTTGATACCAACATACGCCTCAGCTTCAATCCATTTCGAAAAGTAGTCCGTAAGGACTAAAAGGTATTGTACACCTCGAGTTGATTTGTGCAATGGTCCAATGATGTCCATTGACCACCTCATAAACGGGTATGGGGCGGAAATGGAGGAAAATAATTCCGAAGGTTGATGGATCAATGGTGCATGGAGTTGGCAGCGCTTACATCTTTGGGCGAACTTAACACAGTCTGTGATCATAGTGGGCCAATAATATCCCATTCTTTTAACTTTAAAAGCCATAGCCCTTCCTGATGAATGACTCCCACATAATCCTTCATGCACCTCGCTCATAACAATTTCGACTTCGGGCCCAAAAATGCATAATAGGTAAGGATCACTGACACCTCGTCTATACAATGTGTCCTTTGATAGACAAAATTTCGCGCTAACGATTTTCATTTTCCTGGCCTGCCACTTATTCTTTGGGAGCTCGCCTGTCATGATGTAGCGTTTTATTGGCTCCCTCCAGTCAGCCCCCCAGTCTTTAGCCGGAATTTGGTCGACCTTGTGGTTCTGGTTCGGGATGCTTGTTTGGTTTAAGAATATTCTCCTCGATTAATGGCTCGGTCTCTAATACTGTTTCTGGAATCACATCTTCTGCGAAGGTAACAGGCTCCTCGTTAGACGTATTTGCTCCTTTTGATTTCCTCCGTTTGTTGGGTGGCGGTTCGACCTCTGGTTCGCCATGGTCACGTGCCGCTGCTCGAGATCTTGTAACGACGAGGGTTTCCTTGTTGTCCTGAATGCTTCGCTCCGAAATGCATTCCACTGGAATAACTCTTTTTACTTCAGGATCTGATGTTGATGCTAACGCCGCAAGTGCATCCGCAGTTGTATTCTCCCCCCGAGGTATGCGAATTAACTCGAATTTCGAGAAATTTTTAGATAGATCCTTCACCACTTCGAGGTATGCTTCCATTCTTGAGTCTTTAGCCTCGTAGTCTCGATTAAATTGGTTAACCACTAATTGCGAATCACAATAAGCGACTATTTCCTTGGCTCCAACTCCTTGTGCCAACCGAAGTCCAGCAATCAGGGCTTCGTATTCTGCCTCGTTGTTGGAAGCATTAAATAACAATCGGAATGACTGTTCTAGAATCTCTGATGTCGGAGACTCCAACTTTATATCTAGTTTCCGGATCCATCATCGACTTACTTATGTAGTAAATTGGCTTCTGCTCTCCGCGGTCTTCCCGGACCAGGACTCCACTAACCGCATGGTTCGAAACGGATACATATAAATAAAGCTTCTCATCTACTTCTGGTTTGGACAATATAGGTGGTGTGGTTAAGTATGCCTTAAGCTGCCCAAAAGCCTCTTCGCACTTTTCGTCCCAAAGGAATCCTTTGTTTCCTTTTAGAATTTGGTAGAAAGGTAACGACTTATCTGTTGATCTTGAGATAAAACGATTCAAAGCCGCAATCCGCCCAGTCAACCATTGTACCTCCTTGAAGTTTCTTGGAGAGGGCATGTTTAGAAAGGCGTTGATTTGATTTGGATTGGCCTCAATCCCTCTTTCCGTCACAATATAACCAAGAAATTCTCCGGATGAAACTCCGAATGTATACTTCGCCGGGTTCAGCTTCATTTGATATTTGTTGAGAATATCGAAACATTCCTCTAAATGCTTAATGTGATCTTCTTTCTTTTTCGATTTAACCAACATATCATCTATGTAGACTTCCATTGTCTTCCCGAGGTGATTGTGAAACATTTTGTTAACCAACCGTTGATAAGTTGCTCCTGCATTTTTCAAACCAAAAGCCATTACTTTGTAACAATAGATACCTCTATCCGTGATAAATGAAGTTTTTTCTTGGTCTTCGGGGTTCATCATTATTTGATTATAACCCGAGAAGGCGTCCATGAAGGTCAACAGCTCATTCCCAGCGGTGGATTCCACAAGTCGATCTATATGCGGGAGCGAGAAACTGTCCTTGGGACATGCTTTATTGAGGTCTGTGAAGTCAATGCAAACCCTATCTTTTCCATTCTTCTTTTTGACAACGACAGTGTTTGCTACCCATTCCGGGTATTGCACTTCTCTTATGGATCCTATCTTCAAAAGTTTATCCACCTCGT